GGGAACTGCTGTCCTCTCTGGACTTTTTTAGACCACAGCTGGAAGTTGTGTGGGGTAGGGAGAGAGGCCGCAGCAACAGGCCAGAGGTAACAGCCTGGGAGCTGGTTGGCACCTAAACATGGAAGTAAGAGCCACCTTTGAAAATCTCACCATTTCTTTTGGAGAAACAAGCACTAATAATTTGGAAGCTCTAATATCTGAGTCATGTGTTAATATTCTTTTTAAATAGAGTTTAATGTTGCCTTAAGGAAAAGCAACAATCATCATTTACAAAAACATTTAATCTGTGTTATGGACCTGACATCCGCTGACCAAAAAAGCAAGACCACATCTTAGAGACAATTTTTTTAAAGCTGTAAATGTGCGGCAAGTGATATTTTCTGTACAAATTGTCTGAGTGACCAGTGTAGGTTTAAATCTAAATGTTATTTGGGGATAAGTTACTAATTTGCGGGTTATTTTTAACACTCATGAAAGTAAGGGACAGATGATGCTGGGCAGAGCCAGGAAAAATACAAATGAGAGCTGTGTAAGCTTCCCACCCACAACTTTGTCACTGTCCTTTGAATTCTGACTTTCAATACCCTCTGCTATATCACTCTTGGCTTCCCCACATCAACTCTGGCACAGCACCTCAGTTCTCTGCGTGGATTTGCAGATACTGCCAACTGTGCAATTATACTCAACTATGCAGGTGGTTTTGTAATGACCATGTTGATAAATATGCACAAAGAACACAGACTGGAGAATACTAAATAACTTTTGCCTATGGCACACTGTGTGGTTGTCATTGTTTTGGGTCTTTGTTTTGCTTGAATTACTTATAGGCGACAAACTGACTTGAATGAAGAATTTAACTGGAAAAACCTTTAGCTCACCTATGCCACAACTCACAAAGTGCAATAAAAACCACGGTCAAAGGGCCAAATGGAATAAGAGTCTCAGAGAATGAAGGCCAACCTCATCTAAAACCAAGCACAATTCATCATTTTTCTTTCTGTGTCTCACTGCGTGGCATACATTCAGTTCTCAGCATGGGTAATGTTGTTCAGTGAATGCCTTATTTACATTGATGTTTTTAGGCTAAAAATGTTATGCACAGTTTACTCTTTTAAGCCAGCAGCAGGCACAACGTAATTACACTACATGCAACCTAGAGTAAGTCCTGCTTAAAAGAAAAAAATTTAGTGCTAAAAGAATATTAAACTAAGGGTATGTCTACACTACGGGATTAATCCGAATTTAGATAATTCGAATTTGGGAAACAGGTTGTGTAAATTCGATTGTGCGCGGCCACACTAAGCACCTTAATTCGGTTTTTAACCACATTAATTCGGTGGTGTGCGGCCACACTACCCCATTAATTTAAACACAGTAATTCGGTGGTGTGCGGCCACACTAACCCTAATTCGAATTAACAAAATCGATTTAGGCGCTACTCCGCTCGTCGAGGTGGAGTACAGAAATCGATTTTAAGTGCCCTTTAATTCGAATTAACTGGCTCTGTAGTGTGGACGGGTGAAGGGTTAATTCGGATTAACGCAGCTAAATCCGAATTAAAGTCGTAGTGTAGACCAGGCCTAACACTAGGTTGTATTATGTTACATTTTTAATCGAGTGGGCTTGTCAATGGCTCTGAAGTGCCCAATTCAACTCTTAGTAAAAATCAATGGGAGTCCTGTGAGTGACTTTAATGGGAATGGACCTGGCCCTAACTGAATAGATTTCTATGGTTTTACACATTGCCCTTTTAAGTTAAGAGGTGCTCTGCCATTTGAGACAATGCCAACCGGCAACAGTGTTCTACTTGGACAATAGCTACCTGCAACTGCCAAACTTTCAACTGACATTGTGAGCTAGATTCGGAGTTATCAAAAGCCCTTAGCAAGGGGCAGCGTGTAGCTCAGCTACCCGAGGGTCCTTGCTTATTCCTTGTTTTATGAGATAAGTAAGCTGCACCAGCACTATATCTAATTTCCCTCTTCACCAGCCCAGCTGTGCTGGCTGATGCATGGGAATGTGGAGCCAATACTGTGTCTATTCGCCCCTCTTGCTTGTCCACTCCTTGCCCATCTGTGTGAGTCAGACAGCAGTAGCTCTGCCTGCAGCAGCTGCTTCCCACGCCAACCCCAGAAAATGCGTGAGTCCACGCAGGGAGTTAAAAGGGGTCATAGGGCATCTGACAATTAAGCCCAAGACATTTCTTCAGATTACAGAAGAAAACTGTAGTGTTTTCAGCTGAAAGAGGGAGGCATCCCCATCGGCAAATCACTCTGAATACCACAGACATGTACAATCATCTAACAGGTCACCCCAGGCTGGGAAAAGATAAGTGGAAGAGAATTAAACAGTAAAAAATTTAATCTCATTAGATAAAGCCTGCCAATTAAGCACTGAAACTTTTCAAAACGCTGATTCTCTACAGTTTTGACATGAAATACCTTGGGAGGAATTTGGCTTGTATTCATGTAGGAGATCCAAAAATGTTAATGACTGATAAAATAAAGAGCAGGACATGAGTGGAATATAAATAGTTTAATTTATTACATTTTCTAGTATATTTCCAAAGATTTCATAATAAAATGTACATTTAATTTGATATGAATTCAAAGGACTTTGTTTTGGCCTTTAACGTAGCCTTATATGATATCTTCATAAATTATATGCCTCTTTGACCATGCATAGACCCACAGTAAAAATAATATTGGAGAGAAAAATCTAATGTTTTCACAGTTCAGTTATCTTGTTTAAAATATAAAAATCAGCAGCTTTGAAAATATACACCAAAAATTATTATTTAGCACATTAATCAGTAAAGAAGGATTTATAATCTATAGCCCAGTCCTGCAAATGCTTGAGTACACATGGAACTTATTCATATACTTAAATGTCTGTCTTCAGGGAGATGACGCATATAAGTAGTTCCCCGTGTGCTTAAATGTTTGAGTTCGAGGGCCTACCTAGTGTGAAACTCTACTCACTGTATTTTCTGAAGTCTTATATATGTGACATCTAGAGCATTAGGAACACAAATGCTCCTAATGTTAGTGAAAAGTAGGCCCTTAATTTTTCATTCCTTACATTTTAAGGACTTGTCCTTATTTGTTTGATATGCACTGGGGAAAAAGCCCTACATTTTTCTGAAAATATCTAACATACTACGCAAAAATCAAAAGACTGAAATAAATGACGCAAAGGTTTATGATCAAAGTGGCCTTTTCTGGTCTTAAAAATGTATGTCTTGCTAAGCTATAGTTTCTTCACTCGGGAGTGCATCAAAAGGAGTAGCACTTCACGCAAACATTCTATTTGCTGCAATAAACTGGCCAGAAAAAAACACACATTGTTTTATATGGTATAAAGCATAAAAAATCTTTCAGTTAAGTATATGAGTTTATAAAAATAATTTACAACACTATTAGAAGCTTCTCAATAGAAAATGGTGATATTCACCCTGTGCAGAAGCCCAGCGCAAGGCCAGTGCACCACTTAAATAGTCTGTTTTAAAAATATAATTTTCTTAATCGGATATAAACAATGCACATATGGAAATTAGGACAGTTTTAGGTGTTGTCTACACAGGAAAGATTGACAGGGTTTGTTTTTTCTTTTTATTTACTCAGCTATACAAATATAGCTAACTTGAAAGAGTGCATTCACACTGCTTTGTCTAAAGTGGCTTAAGCAACTTCCTTTGTGCATCACAATGCCCACGCAGCACTGTGTGTTTTGAAATAAGCACACAAGCTGTCCGGGCAGGTGTCCCAGGGTACAGTGCTCAATATACTGTTGTTTATTGTTTTGGATTGTGGGATACCTACTGGAATCTACTGGAACATGGGGTCAAACTCCCTTGATTCCTTCCACTGTAACCCATAATTGGCTTGTTTTCCACTAGTCAACACCATTTTCAAACTGTTTCAGTTTCAAACGAGTTTTCAAACTGCTGTCAGGCAGCATAGATGAAGCACTGCTGAGTACAGCAATCCTGACCATCATTAATACGAACAGGGTGCTCCATATGTGTTAACTGCCTAGGAAGGTGATGTTGGAGGAGATGGAAGATCACCACCATTGTGACAGCACACGGATGCTGCTAGAGCAAGATGCTAAAACTAAGCAGTTACTTCAGTCCCGCTCCTCATAGCATGCACATGTGCTGGGAGCATTAACCGAGATCTTTGTTTTTGTAATTCTACCACTGCTCCTTGGTTTTGGTGCCACACTGGCACCTGTCCTGGGAATATCCCTTTCTCCTGCATTTGCTCTGCTAGCTGCTGGTAAATCTTGGCATTCTAGTGACTCCTGAAAAGATGAGATTGAATGTACTCTTCTCCCTGGAAGGCCAGGAATTCCTCAATTTCCTGATGCAACCACATGAGGGTGCAATGGACTCAGGGTCTGTGAACTTGCCTCGAACTGGAGATACACAGATGCACTTGTATGTCTGCCATTATTTAAACAGAGATAGGGATGTCCAATCAAGATGCAGTTGGTGCTTAAATTGGTCTGAAAAAAGTGTGTGTGTGGGGGGGGTCCATCATAATCTGGGAGCAGCAGCTTTGGTAAAACGGTGCTTGGGTGTGCCCCTCAGCAACCTAGCTCGGTTTTTAAACTTTTTCTTTTTCCCCCCCCAGGGCCCCAATCCCTTAGACCACCATGTCACCCCTCCATTCCCTCACCAAGCACATAGACTTTAAATGCCAGATATGGTGGAGGATAGGGCTGTGCAAATAAGTGATTTTTTAGTTTGGTGGCTGAACCGTAAAGTCGGGGGGGAAATTGTTTTAGGTTGAATTAAACGTTTTGTTTGAGGATGTGGTCTGGGTTTTTTCCCCCCAACATTTTAAAATAATTTTGAGGTAAAATTCAAAATGCAAAATAATTTTGAATAAAAAAAATGGAAGCATCTCATTCAGAAAATGTTGAAACAAAGTGTTTTGATTATTTTAGAATTTTTTTGCTCCCGACCAAAACAATTCAGCAAATTCAACGTGAATTAGCAAAATGCATTTTTTGGACAAAAAAAGTTTTGGTCCCAGCTCTAGTGGAGAGTGCACACGTAACCAGACAAGCCAATCCAGATATTAAGTAATGCAGTGTGGGATAGCAGTGAGAGGACTACCTGATGCGATACAGCTATTTCAAAACGGGGATATGTCCACACCAATCTTACAGCGGTATAACACATTCCAAAACAGAATTATGTCACTTCCAAAGTGGGTTAATTACAGAGGGATAAGATGCAAGATAATGCCCCAAAAGATCATTTGAGTCTGGATGGAAGGCAGTTTATGCCAAAAAACTAAAGATACACCCCCCCACACACACACAAAAAAAGCTTTCCCATGTAGACAAGGCCTATCCAAGATAAACATTTTCCTTTCTCAGAGGCTAGTATAAGGGGCAACCGTGGTAACAAGTATTCATCTCTAGAATAAGAAACTATGAGGGATTAATTTTGGTTTTAGGATTTTTGGAAGCCAAAAGAGACTTGCTATTGTGGATATTGCTAATTATGGCTAAAAGTACGTGACAGGCTATTTTGCAAGACAGAATGAAACATGAGATAAGATCACCCCTCTATACTCATACTTTACCTGCTGCATTACTGTGATCTGATGATATGCAGGCTCACTGAGGAAGAGTCACCATCATACTGTTTTATAATGCAGTACATGGAGATACCATAGAACTATCAGTACTTGTGGTTACACATTTAAGTTAGGAAGCTCTTCATTTAGGAGAAAAGGGTTATTCTCAAACTGTGCCAGCAGTTCTTCCATCGCTGCCTACCAGAAAATACTGGGTTTAGGCTGCGACATCATGGAAGCATCCTGTAGATGCCTTGCCATGCAGCAGCTTGATGTTAAATATTCCCACTGTTTTGTCGATTGCCATCCAATCATCACGAGTGACTAACAAATCCCAATGTGCTTTTCCCATTCAGTTAAGTGAATGCTTTGGTCAAGGGGGTGCCCACTGCTGCTGAGGATGATGAGGACAGCTTGTTTGGAGATGTTTTCTTCTGCCTTGCACAAGTCAGCCGTGGTGATGAAAGTCAGTCTCTGGCAAACGCAACAACAATGGGGGTGATTAACCTCAGCAGCCAGACTGAAGGATATTTCCACCAGAACGCTTAGTCACTGACAGCGTGGTGAATATCTAAGAGGAAGGAAGCAAGAATGTTTTCAGTACATTGAAATGAATCCCAAGGAGGATGGCACTCAGATATATAAGGAATAATGCTACAACCATAGCATTTCTTATTCAAAGTAGTATAGTGTAATGGCAAAGACACATTTAACATCCTCATTGCTACACAGTACACACACCCCTTGTCTTCACCACTTTTCTTAGGGTTTTTATTTTTGTGGTCAAGAAGAAACGACTGAGGGAAAGTCCCGTGGCTTTCTACCACTTTTATCTTAATATGGTAAATTAAAATATCACGTTAATCATATAGAATTCTGGAACCAATTCCAGCTCTAGATATTTTGGATTAGGATTTACAGCACTTGTGCGGACCAGGATCCGGTGATTGGAACTCCTGCTTTAGGAAGTGTGGAGCAGATGTGGCTACCCTTCCAACACATACACTGGGATTCTGTTCTATGTCTCCAGAAGCACTGGGCAAGGGGAAGAGAAAGATGGTTTTAAGCTAATTTTGTGTCTGTCCGGTTCTGGGGCTAAAATGACAACCAGCATAATTTAGAACAGCCCTGGAGGCTGCTTTAAATTAGGGCAGCATACCTTGAGGTTCCTATCATTTGCGGTACAAGCCAGAATGGCCGTAGGAATATATACTAAGGCCCCAACATCTACTGCCCATGGCACAAAGGTTTGTCTGGGGAAGGGCCAGTATAGGGACACCTATCGTGGCCCAACATAGTACCTGCAAGGAGGAAATTCTACCCCAGCAACTTGCCTGTTGAGATCCAAGAATGATCTTGGCACTGGACAAGGATTCCAGGAAACCTGTGTTCTATTCCGTACTCTGACACACTTTTCCTCTGTGACCTTGGGCAAGTCACTTAACCTCTCCGTGCCTCAGTTTACAATCTTCTGCTTGTATGTGTCCCTTTCTCACACTTCTTCTCTATAAGACTATAAGCTCTGTGGGGCATGGACTCTCTCTTACTAGGGGTTTATACAATGCCTAGCACATTGGGCCCCCTACATGCTACTGTAATACAAATAAAATAATAATAATTGACTTTAATGGAGGTACCCCACACATTTCAGGACCAGGCTCTTTTAAACTATATCTTTGACTGAAGGAGCTCAAACGGTTCCCAAAAAAATGAAAAATCCATGAGCACAACTCTTCCAATATAGTTCTCTTGGATTCAAGCTGCTCTAACTTGATGCCGAAGGAAAAATATTCTCAGTGCACTTTATAAAGGTTTTCTTTTTTCCCCCCAGACAATAGCCAAGAAACCTTTGTAGATCTAGTCTACAAAATGAGGACTCTTGGTGCTTTCCTGACACTTACATTAAAAATAAAGATATTCAAGAGTAGTTTTTGTAAAATGAAAAAGTACTGAAATTCTAGAAGAAAAATAAGTTGCATGAAATCCAACAAATTACCTCAGTTAGTAGTTAAGGTTTACTACACAACTGATGGTGTTGTTTTGCACACACATAATACAGGAAGGATTACAGGAAATCAAAACCACTTCTATCTAAATGGTTCAAAGCTACAGTAATTAGCTGGCATCAAAGTCATCTCTGAGGAAGAATAAACTGAGAACAGAACAGAGTATCTGCACATTTCTCTCATGCAAATAAGATTGAAATGTCTGCAGTTAATAGAGATCTGAAAGCCTTAAAGTTCAGTAAGTTGAAGCCTTGCTGTACACAGACTGCTAACAGCTCTTTGGGGAATAGCATCAATAAATGATACACAACCTCCTCCCTCTGTAAGCAAATAAAACACTACATGCCAATAAGGAATTCAGATACATGCAAGAAACTACCTTAATTTATAGTGAAAAGAAAGAGGATATATTTAAGCTAAGGGACTGGGTTTGAAATAGGGCTTCTAATTCTCCAATGCAAAATATGTGCATCTTAATCTTCATTTTCATTTCAAGTGGACTTTGATTGCACTGCATTGTTGAAGTCACTTTGAAATGAAAATAAAGATTAAAATGTGCTAGCTTTATCTGTTTTTCCTTCTTGGTCTTGACCCCAACTTCTATGTGTACTGGCTAGCTTTAGCTGCTGTGCGGTCTCTGCATAGCTTCTTGACTAAAGCAAACCAGCTGGGATCTATCTGAGAGTTACTGGAAACATGATTTTTCGATTTAGAGCTGTTAGCTGTTCAAGTGAAGACAAGGCTATAGATCCAATAAATGGAAGCGCTCATTAGTGAACTAGCTGAGTCATGCCAGTTTCTAAAGGAAGATTTGCCTGAATTGTAAATACCAACATTGGTAATCACTACAATTCAGTCTTTCTTAAAACCAGGTCTCATTACAGCCCAGGTTCTGCCACCTATACTCACGCTGAGTAGCACTTGTCTCTGCAAACAGTTTCATTGATTTCAAGAGCCTGTTTTGTAGAGTGAGTAAGAGAAGCAAAATCTGGCTCTAATTTATAAAAGCAAAGTAAATTAGAGCCCAATCCTTCTACCCTTAATCAGTGGCGGATTTAGAGTTAGTGGGGCCCTGTGCTCAGCTTCATTTTTGGGGCCCTCCTTGGGACCCAGCCAAGAAACATTCTCTCTTATCTCCCCCCACCCATCCCTGCTTTTCATCCTTTTTTTCTTCATCCTTCTCCTATAAGTAATAGGAAGTAAATGAAAATAAAGTCAGGTACCTTGATTGTTTTTGTAGTGTAACCTATTTTTCCACAGACCACTTGAAAAATCACTGAGGGTCTCGGCGGACCCCTTAATGATCTTTCCAAATATTGTTTGTACCGTTAGCTAACTATTGTAAAGCGCTTTGGATAAGAGCGCTTTATAAAAAAAATGTAAAAAAGCGTTGGGGTGCGGGGTCTGGCCAGAAGTTATGATGCGGGAGGGGGCTCCGGGCTGGGGCTGCAAGGTCTGGGAGGAAGTTAGAGTGCAGGAGCAGGCTGGGGGTTGGGGTGCAGGGTCTGGCCAGGAGTTAGGGTGCGGGAGGGGGCTCAGGGCTGGGACAGGGGGTTAGGGTGTGGAGCACTTACCTGGGGCAGCTCCTGTTTGGTGTGAGGGGTGCAGGTGAGGGTAGGGGGGTGCAGGAGTCAGGGAGGGCAGGGTGTGTGTGAGAAGGGTGCAAGAGTCAGGGCTGGGAGTGTGTGAGGGGATGCAGGAGTCAGGGAGGGCAGGTGGCTGAGTGTATGAGGGGGTGCAGGAGTCAGGGCTAGGGTGCAAGGTCTGGGAAGGAGTTAGGGTTCAGGGGCAGGCTGGGGTGCAGGGTCTGGCCAGGAGTTAGGGGGCAGGAGGGGGCTCAGGGCTGGGGCAGGGGTGTGGAGCACTTACCTGGGGCAGCTCCCATTTGGTGCGAGGGGTGCAGGTGGGAATGTGTGTGTGGGGGGTGCAGGAGCTCCCGTTTGGTGCTCAGGGTGCGGGGGGGGGGGGAAGGTGTGGGGGGGTGCAGGAGTCAGGGCGTAGGGGGTGCAGGAGTCAGGGAGGGCTCGGGGTGTGTGAGGGGTGTGCAGGAGTCAGGATGGGGTTGGGGGTGTGGGCTGGGGTTGTGGGGGTGCTCCCAGCCCCGTGCCCCACCCCAGCCTCCTGTCCTGAGCAGCTCATGGCGGGGGGGGGTATGTGTAGGGGGAGTGCGGGGGCCCCGCCTTTGCTCCGCCCTACCCCATTTCCACCCCCTAACCCCAAGGCCCTGCTCCCGCCTCTTCTCCACCTCCTCCCCCGAGCGTGCTGCAGCCCTGCTCCTCCCCCTCCCTCCCAGAACGACCTGAGTGCTGACAAATAGCTCTTAGGAGGCAGGGGAAGCGCTGGGTGGGAAGGGGCGGGAAGGCGGCACGCTCGGGGGAGGAGGCGGGGGAGGGGGAAGCTTGGGTGCCGGTGGGGGCGGAGCCTGCAGCAGGAGCCACAGGAGCCTGCAAGACCAAGCTTCTGTCCCCGCAGCTGCCCGGCCCTGGGCCTCCCCCACATCGTTGGGGGGCCCCGGCCAGGGCACCCTGTGTTTCACTGTAAATCCGCCTCTGCCCTTACTCATGCTGAGTAACACTGTACTTGTCAGAAGACTGCTCGTGAAATGAGATACTACTGGAAGTCACTGAGGATGGCAGTATCTGGTCCGAAATAAAGATGTGCTACATCTGTGCAGGAAAGTGATAGTAATTTCCTTTCCTTTAGCATGTTTATAAATGTATAACATAGAAAGCATGCTGAGGTCATTCATCGTTCTATTTGTCCCAATGCAGTCAGTACCCACAAAATGCCAACAATTTTTTTACTTTTATTGGCTGAATAAGAGATGAGATTAAGTTAGAGGAGCAAAAACCTTTTGAATGCTAGCACTACCAAATCATCACAACCCTCTGGAGGTTTTAATTTGCATGTTCCTCCTCAAAACGATTCTCTCCCCCACTCCTCCCCAAATAAACCTGATTAGCTGAAATTACCACACCACATTATGTCTAATCATACTATTCATTTTCAATTTTAGCAGCTCAGATGTCCAAAATAAATTATGATTATCATTCTATCTTCACACTGCATATGCTAATACGCCATTTGAATTCACAGGTGTGAAGACTCCCACTCAGCCGTCTACCAGGAAAAGGCCTCTGATAAAATGAGAACTTGTTTTCCTTTCTTTGAGGGTTTATAAGAACCCCATTATAACATGATGTTACAGAGAAAGATAAAACCTTTGCTGTGGATGCTCTGAAATGACTCTGCTATCTGCCAATCTGTTACATTCACAAAGGCTGTCATCTTGTCTACCTTGCATTATGCTGCAAACACAACATACAACTAGCACAGACAAGTAGATGTGGCTACTTTTGCAGATCTCTGGTATTTTAGAGTATTACAGCTTGTAGCTAAAATATGTACATAAGGACACAGATTCAGCCCAAGACCCACTGACAGATTCAAGAGTTAAAATGGCTTAGGATATGTCTACACTGCAATTAGACACCTACAGCTGCCTGTGCATAGATGTTCAGGATCAGGCTGCAGCCTGGGCTTTCAGGTTCTAGAGCCCAGGTTGCAACCCACGTTCTCAGGTTCTAGAGCGCAGGCTGCAGCCCGGGCCCAAAGTTCTACACCGCAATTAAACAGCTTCTTAGTCCGAGCCCTGCAAGCCCAAGTCAGCTGGCATAGGTCGGGCACATGTTTTTAATCGCAGTGTATGTCTAGCCTTAGAGGAAATCCTCAGCTGGTCTAAATAGGCACTCTCCAATGGAACGCAACTGATTTACACCAGCAAATGATTTTGCTCCTTTTCGTGCTTCTTTACTTGGAGTCAGACACATGAACTGAGTAAAGAAAAAATCTCTGGAGCGGCAGAATTTAAGAGAAAAATCATTAAGTAACTGATCTTTCTCTAGAATGCCAGTTTATAAGCCTATTTTAAGTACTTAGATCAACCTGAAATGTTAGCCTTGATAACCAATTAGCAGAAATAAATATTTGAAGCCTTCATACACAGATTTCTGAGAGTCAGAGTGTAAGGAGAATTCTCTACTCTCAGACAGAGGAGACACTACATCATGGCAGACCATTGACATTATATAGTTAAAGAATTAAACATATGTAAAAAAAAACCCAACAACTCTGAGTCTTTATATAAACAGTCAAAACTTCAATATCTGAAACTCCTGGTCATCCAAAATTCAAATCAAAACTTTGTCTAGAAACCAAAATTCATTTTTATAAACTCTAATTATTCAAAGATTTCCAACATCTTCCCCGGAGACCCCAAAATACAAGGCTGTGAGACAAAATGTGCATAGTGCAAGCTGGGGAGTGTAAGGGTGGAAGTAGCTTTGGGCAGGCTTAAAGTTCACTCTTGAACTATCCCTGATCCTGCTGACACTCTATATTAGACTGGTCCCTGTGCTCTGAGTTAGAGCATCTTAGGGATGCTTTGATTTATGATAGCTGTAAATGACCACAAGGTTGAAGATCAGAAAGAGGGATCTTCTAGTGGAGTACAGCAGGTATGGGAGCTCTTACATCATCACTCTTTCCCCTCATGTGCTGGCAGCAGGAAGGAGGGGGAATGCCTGCTCTCCTCGATCAGAAGATCCCCTTGTGCTGGCTGAAGCAAAATGCCATAATCTGGCGTGATTCCCCCTGGGGCTGCATGTACTAGCTTTAGGATCACATCATCTGGCACTGCAGTGCAAAGGGGCTGCACTGCATAAGAAAATCTAGCCTTATGTATTTTTTGTTTAGAGATACCACGCACACACCTCTGACACCACATACACACCTCTGCACAAACTGGATGAATTCCTATTGTGTTGTCCAACTGCGCTTTTGTCAGTCCACATTTGATGGCTGCTGAAAACCCCTGGGTAACTTCTCCAGCATTTGGACCAAGCACATGGAAACCGATAACTCGCTCCTAAATAAAGAAAATCAATTCAAGTAGCCTTGTACATTTATTCTCTTCAGATAGTCTTGAAGATTGTCTTATTACTAAAGACAGTGTGTTTAACTTTTACTCAGATAAGTTGTTCCACTGACTTCAATGGGCTACTCACCTAAGTGAAGATAAGCATATGTGTATATCAAGCATATTGCAATACCAGGGCCAGTGTTGGTTGGTCATTTACTGTGTGTTTGTTCTGAATCATCTCAATAAAAATTAAATTTTACAAACTCCCAGTTTAGCAGTTAAGTAGCATTAAGTGTAACACAAGAAACGCTTATATATGATTCTATTTAGCTTTTCTAACTGAATTGATGTAATTGAATGATTACTGCTGGGCAAATATGTTCACTGACAAGTAATACATATTCTGTGCAAAAGGTCAAAATCAAAACACTGGCTCATGGATGTGATGTCAGGTTACAAGGAGACTGAAGCCTGAGCCCCGCCACCCGGGCCCAAAGCCCAAGCTCTTCCACCTCTTAGCTTCATGGGGCCCCCTGTGGCATGGGGGTCCGGGGCAATTGCCCTGCTTGCTACCCCCTAATGCCAGCCCCGTGTACATTTCTGTGATTTTATTGTTTATTGCCCATGCCCTGTCCGTGACTTTTAATAAAAATACCCGTGCCAAAATCTTAGCCTTAACTACGAGCAATAGTTAACATCTCTGGTGACTGCTGAAACAGACACGGCAGATATTCACAAGAAAACAACTATCACTGCATACTCCGCTTCTCCAGCATACGCTAGTGTCCAAATGAAAAATATCTGGAAACATTTTAGTATAGCTCCTTTCCGTACTACCGAGAGAACAACAAATCTGATTTATAAAATATTTTACATCCTGAGCTGGTGTAAACTGCCATAGCTCCATTGACTTTGATGGAGTTATGTGATTTATGCTAGCTAAGGTTCTGTCTCTTTGTTTTCATGCTATAACAATCCTGTTGGATATCAAAGGCTATCTGCTTCTGCTAACTACAGTTTGTGATTTGAGTTTTAGATTATTTTTCCTCATTAGTGAGCACCTATGGGCTAGTTACCCATGGGCTATTTCAAGGATAAGATAATGGGTAAAACCTAAAGTATATCTATTTTCAATTCTCTTTTTTTTATGACATTGTATTAATAAGAGTTTCAGGTAGAAACTTAAATATTTAATGGATTGAATTTTCATCCTGGATAACCTCTAACCCTATAGATATTTAAACTCATTTACAATTTTCAGGACAATAAAATGTGAACAAATTAAGGCCCTGATTCAAAGTCCACTGAAGTTAATGGGAGTCTTTCCATTTACTTCAATGGACTTTGGATCAGGCCCTATAGCCCCAGTTCTACCACAGGATCCACATGGGTGTAAAGGTGATCTCCAAAAAGTGGAGCCTAAATACTATGGTGATGGGCACTTTAGAAATGAGATAGTTATTTAGACACCATCAGTGTGTGGTAGAATCCTTAGAATTACCATAAGTACATTAGACAACATGGATAGGAGTAGCTAGATAAAATAGATTTATAGATGTTTGCTAACATTGGTTGCTAGATGCCAATATCTAATAACAAAGATACTGTCACAGTAGAAAAAGTTAAAGGCGAGGGAGAGACTTGTTAATAATTAAAGTCCAACTCAGCTCTTATTAAACAGATCTTGCTCACTTATAGCCGGGAATGCTGATTCTTCTAAATGGTTTATAATCTACTTAATGGTTTAACAGATTCTGTAGATGTCTGTAGTAGCGAAGGGTGGTAGTTTTATCCCTGCTATGTCAGGTTAATCTTAGCATTATCATTTAAAATAAGATTTGTGAGGGCAAGACAGAGAAATCCTGTTATAGTCATCCCAAGAGTTCAAAACTAACCCATGGATTTGTAAGGAGATGAAATTTGATGGATTCTGGCTGACCTTGATTTAAGGGAGATACATCTCCTAAAGGAAGAACAGGAAGACTTTTTTAAAGTGTAAGAGCTACGTAGCATTACTAATAGTTTATTTACCTACTTTTGAAATATAATGAACATTTCTAGTGATAGCTACCAATATTTTTTAATCCTTATGGAAAACTACTATGTACAAATGTCAGCCATACAGTCTGTTAAAGGGCCATTTTTCTATAAAACATAAATATTTGGTACATATTATTAGAAATGTTTAAAAATATTCAAAAGGTAGATTAGTGACAAACTGAAGGATATTTATTTTTTAACAAATGGGAAAAACAACTACTTATCCCTTTCACTGTGGCCCCTAAAACGACTAGCTGGTTCCTGTTTCCCCAGGAGGAAAAAAAATGCACTTACATTATCTTGAATATTGCAGATTATCTTTGCATAGCATTTGTTGTTGTCTCTAGATGGGACAGTCCACTCCAGTGGCCAGAAATAACTATGGTAAACCTAGAAATACAATAAAGACTTTAAACAAGTTTTATAAGTTTATGGTGCTAGAGTAGGCTTTTGAAAAGTGCCCCTTGTCAGCCTAACTCTGCACCCACTGAAGTCAATGGGGAGTTTTACTGCTAACTTCAATGGGAGCAGAGTTAGGCTGACAAGGGGCACTTTTTAAATTCTCACCCTTATAGTTCTTAAAAATGAGTAAAACACAATCCTTCCTGGAGTTCTCTGTGGAGCAGTGCAGCTCTACCACCAGCTAACTGTAAATGAATTATTAGATGAGAAGAGTGTTTAATTAACTGCGGCTTACTGAGAAAAACTGAACATATGTCCCTCAACAAATCAGGAGAGAGCTGGTTTAATCAGGGCCGGATCTACCATTTTTGCCGCCCCAAGCAAAAAAAAAAAAAAAAAAACAAAACACCAAAAAAAAAAAAAAAAAAAAGCCGTCTGGACTGTGCCACCCCAAGAATGCTTCCTCCACTGGTGCCTGAAGCCAGCCCTGGGTTTAATGCATTTCACATAAGTAAGGTTCTAAGGCACTTTATAAACTACATATATAGAAAGATGTTGTCACCCAACACTGAAATTTAGCCATTTCAGGGGTGAAAGGCAGCTCAAGACCACAACTAAAAAAATGTTTAGAGGACAAAGAAAAGGAGACTACAGGTGCAACTAAGTGCTAAGGAAATTGTAATTATCCAAATTAGAATTCATCCAGGTTACAAATGACATTGAAATTCTTTTTGCCTCCTTCGAGCAAATTTTCAAAAAAAAAGTCTTCTAAAACTGCAAGTGCATTTTTCACAGTTTAGGGTCCAAGATTCCACATCCAGTTTGGGGGCTTGCACAGACTGGGTTTTGTGAACATAAACTGAAGGTGTGTGGGCAAATGAAAATTTCAGCCATCTTCCAGTGGCCAGAAGTAAGACCCCGTAAAAAAAAAAGGGGAGGGTGGGGGGGCGTTGTGCGTCAAATCATATAATTCTTTTTCCACACAGCCCTCTTAAAAAAAAAAAATCTTCTTAGCTTTACTCTAGTAAAAGTTTGCTAATTTATGAACCAGTCCTTACATAATCATTCACCCAGGCCTTGCTCCCAAAGCAATATCAATGAGAAGACACCGTTCACTGCCAGATTCTTGCAAAGATTTTTTTCTACTCTGTGGTTTGTAGAATATTTTACTGTTTTAGGGCCCAATCCTACAAATTCTTACACGTTCAATTTTACTCCCACGAGCAATCTCGGTGGGACTACTCCCCTGAGTAAAATTAAATGTGTGTGTGTTCGTACAATCAGGGCCCTAAGGCTTGTCTATACAACCATCTAGCTTGCAGCAAGCTGGGGTGTAAATCCACCTCTGAACAGCCTTCTACACTAAGAGTATGTCTACACTTACTGTGGATCAACATTGCGGCGATCAATCCACCGGGGGTCGATTTAGCGAGGTCTAGTGAAGACCCGCTAAATCAACCGCAGATCGCTCTCCCGTCGACTCCGGTACTCCATTGGAACGAGAAGCGTAAGGTAAGTCGACGGGAGAGTTTCTCCCGTTGACCCAATACAGTGTAGACACCCCAATAATTCAACCTAAGGTACATCCACTCCAGCTACGTTAGTCACTTGCGTAACTTAGGTCGACTTAACCCCATAGTGTAGATCTGCCCTAAGTGTCCATGCAGCACCTGATGCCATTTCAAAGCAGGGTAGATCAAAGTGCACTAAGGAACTAATAGTGCATAGCAGCAGGGTCCACACCGACAGTGGGTGGCAGGCTAGTGTGAGGTAGACTTACACCCCAGCTTGCCATGAACTAAGTGTTTGTGTAGATAAGTCCAAACAGTCTAACAGGAATAATAACCATGGCAGAGGAGTATATTGCCATACTTTGTGATTACACCAATAGTTCAGCTTTGGCACTAAAAAACATTTACTGCCTTTCAACGCTCCTCCACTAATTGATCCCCTTATTATGTCTAGAGACAAAGATTACATTTTTACAAGTATTTTACACACAAGCCAACAAGAGAACACATCTGCAGCTAGGTTTACCAGAATTGCAGACTAATGTTTACACCAGGGTTTGGGGTCTAACCAAAGCGATAAAAATATTTTTAGTATCCTGTTGACCTTAACAGTAGGTCTACACAGCAAAGAAAAACCCATGCCTGGCCTGTGCCAACTGACTCGGGCTCACGGGGCTGTTTCATTGCTGTGTAGACTTCGGGGTTCAGGTTGGAGCCCGAGCTGTGGGACCCTCCCACCTTGCAGGGTCCTAGAGCCCAGGCTCCAGCCTGAGCCTGGAAGTCTACACAGCAATGAAACAGCCCACAACCCAAGCCCTGAGAGCCTGAGTCGGCTGGAATGGGCCAGCTGTGGGTGTCTACTTGCTGTGTAGACATACCCTCTATAAGAAAGAGGGAAGGACGTTAAAATTTAATTTAAAAAAAAACTCTTTTAATGAAAAAGCAGAACTGAACAGTTTACCTCAATATTTTCCTCCCCAAACTTCTCCAACGCTGTCTCTTCTGAGAATCCACAGGCTCCGTATTCCAGTGGTGTGAACACTGTGGTTGGAACATTCACATAGTCGCACTGTGTGGGATTTAATATATTTTTTTTTATGTCAGCATGTTTAGCACCATCAATATTCCAGTTATAAATCAGTGCATTGTTAACATTTCAGAGAGATTTGGCACATAGGAAGCAGAGATGGGAAATTCATAACTCTGAAGGTATCACTTCGAACGCAACAAGACCTAAGGGCTCTAGAGATGCTGACTAGAAAGATTATACTAATCTTTTAAACTACACAGAAATTAACATGCATGGATTGGGAAGGAAGAGGAAATTCAGTGCCCTCCTTTAACATGTCAAACTGAAGATAAAAGGTAGATTCTCAAATGCCATTAAAATAAAATTTCCAATAGGTAACACTGCATGTATGGTGCATAGCAGCATCCAAAAATGAGACTATTTTATACCTGTCGTGGTCTAAGATGATGAGGGGGGAAAAAAAACATGATGAGAATTCTTGCAGGGTATGATTAGAACTGCAGAGGGCACTATGTGCCTGATCCCGCACCACTGAAGCCAATAGGAGTTTTGCCATTGACTTCAATGGGAGCAGGAGCAGGCTCTGTCTTTGCCGACTTCCAAGTACAGCAAGTAACATCCCTTCCCGCAGAGGTCAGTATTCTCAACAGAGCATCTCTGCTGGTGATTATAAAGTTACAGGGATGCAACTTTTAAATTATACTGCCAAACACAATAAGGAAATAGGTAGAACTGTAATAAAATAAGATGCAGTTTCCTTTGTCGTATTGCAGAAATTGGCCCTGATGTGCCACAGATCCAGGGCTCTTCCCTATGCCCCTTTTCACGTGGAAATCCTGACTCTCACTTTCAGACAGAAAACTGTCTGTTTCACAATTATATTGATTAAGGGCTCTTCTTAATGTATTTTCTTTGTGGTAGGGGACCACCAAAAAGTTTCTGTTGACTATTTTTCTCCTCCCTCCCCCTTCATACATACTTTTTTATGCCCCATCAAATCACCCTTCTTAAGTCTTGGAAAATGAGTAGTACAAGCAAGGACACTGTCTAAAATAACAACTAGTTTCCTGGAATCACTGACCAGGGGGATTCTCGCTTTTGCAGCGTAAGAATGTCAATTAGTAAAATAGAGCAATCTGGCAGAAAGCGTAAATTAAGATAAATTCCCTGTATTGCAATCAAAAATTTGGCTCCAGTCATGGATTTATTAAAGTTTGCCTGGCTGAGGAAATGGCACTATGCTCATTGGTTCAGACGTCTGTTACTGCAATACCGGCCAACCTGAAACCAAGACTGGTTAACAATTGAATCTGATATCAACACGGAAGTCTTTGCAAGATAAAATCCTTGCATTCAGATTCAATGATTGGGGGCCATTTGAGTACCTAGATAGATGGAAAAGCACTTTGGGGACACATTTTTTCCCTTTTCATATAAAGATTATAAGGCCTGACTGGGCACTGTGTTACTCCACTGGCTTCAACGGAGTTATACTGATGTAAAATGGAAATACGCAGTGGTGATCCAGACCCTATAAGTGAAAGTATGTTGCTCCACTAACGTATCAGACCTTTCTTCTATACATATTTTAAAATGTCAAAGGACTTAGAGTTCTGCATTATAATGAAAACACAAAGATGGGAAGTTAAAGATATTAGTTCAAATAGCTCTGAGAACTAACAGCATCACCTAGGATCCTGAAACCCTTTTATTGTCTATTTAGGGACAATAAGCAGATTTACTAAATTGCCTGTGAATGAGAGTTAGTTTAATGAAACTATGGCTACTGCTGACATTTATAGGATAGCAGTAATATTTAGTCAAAATGGCCTCAGTTCACTTTCTTATTACACTCTCAGAGAGAAAGAAAAACCCCACTTATACTAGATAAAAATCAGACCTTTATTGCATTCTTAAGGTATTAATTTTGTCCTGCACTATAGACAGAACATGTCTGCAGTAATATCTTTGCAAAGGAGGAAAGCTGAAGAATAAACAAAGCTAATGCTTAAAAAAGATGCTATGAATATATAGTCCAATATGCTTCATATAGCACAATGACAGTGCTTCATGCTAATTGCTTGCTTACCTTTAAGGTTGCTCCAGCATAAAGCCTTCGAGCCAACAATCTACCTGCTTGGATTGCCACTGGTGTGAGCTCCAGCTTGCCCTCCAACACATCTCCAATGGCATAAATATAAGGCACATTAGTTTGTTCCTCATCACTGACAGGAATTTTTCCTGATCTAGAAGAGACAAGGCATGAAGTAACTCAATATTGGAGACTGGAGGAGTAAAATATTAATAACCTGTAGAAGTAAAGCTCTCTAGCTCTATGAGAAGGATACATACTGAATTTCTCTCAGGGTACGTCTTCACTATCCGCCGTATCGGCGGGTAGCAATCGATTTATCCGGGATCGATATATCGCGTCTAGTTAAGACGCGATATATCGATCCCCGAACGCACTCCCCGTCGACTCCGGAACTCCACCAGAGCAAGCGGCGGTAGCGCAGTCGACGGGGGAGCCGCGGCCGTCGATCCTGCGCCGTCTGGACCCCAGGTAATTCGATCCAAGATACTTCGACTTCAACTACGCTATTCGCACAGCTGAAGTTGCGTATCTTGGATCGATTCCCCCCCCCCCCAGTGTAGACCAGCCCTCAGACACCTCAAGTAGCCAAACAACGCTGTGTTACAGTCTTGGGCCAGAATCTAAGCTGGTGCAAACCAGCGTCTCTCCAACCGAAGCTACACCAATTTACACACCAGTTAAGGACCTGAGCTCTTGAAGCAGCAGTCAGGCTTCTGAATTACAGAGTTATAGGGTGGGACCTGGATCCTCTTCTCAGCACCCACCCCCAGTAGCTGCGTTGGGTACAGAGAATCTCCAGGACCCAAAACAGGAGATATTCTCCCACACAAGCTTTGGAGCAGAAGCAGAGCTTCTCTATTGCTGATAATCCAACCTGATGGTAGAAGTTGCTACTGCGGCCCTAACCCTCAGTCTTCCACTTTAAGTGCCAGACATTCAGTTCAAGCTTCTAGACCAGTGGTGGGCAACCTGCAGCCCAACAGGGTAATCTGCTGGTGGGCTGCCAGACAGTTTGCTTACATTTGCACGGCCGCCCGCAACTCCCAGTGGCCGTGGTTCGCCAGTCCCGGCCAATGGGAGCTGTGGGAAGCGGTGCGAGCCACAGGGACGTGCTGGCTGCCGCTTCCCACAGCTCCCATTGGCCAGGAATGGCAAACTGCGGCCACTGGGAGCTGCGGGCAGCCGTGCAAATGTAAACAAACTGTCTGGCGGCCCGCCAGAGGATTACCCTGACGGGCCGTGTGCGGCCTGTGGGCTGCAAGTTGCCCATCACTGTTCTAGACCATCCCATCTAAGGGCAACTAACAAGAATTTTTCTAAATGTTATATTTAATAAGTTATTAAAATATTAATAATTCACAGGTTGTTAGTAAGTAAATAGCGCAATAGGCACTGAAGGGAGGAGAAAAGGTAGATAAGGAATTCTGCACAGATGTTCATCTCATGGTAACAACCAACAGTACTGACTGCAGGAATTATAGTGGGACCACTATACACTCCTATACTAAGGTCACTTCACACTTCCCATTATAAAAATTCTCTAACTTTTTATTTTAAGAGCTCTACCACCCTCCATGACTTACACTGGGACTTTAGAATGTGGCTGGGGAAGGTCCTGGCATCAGGGAAGTGTCTTTTGTTGTTTCCAAGAAAACAATAAATGGAGACACTATAGGTGTAGAGAGATTCCAACCAGTTCAGCACATCTCCTCAGCAACCTGGGCTACTTGTGAGCACATCAGAACTGTCTTCTGCTCTCTATACTGGCTTCCGTAGAATACTGCATCAAGTTCTAGGTTGCAGTCCTTCTCTTCAAGGCACTCCATAGCCTGAGCCCAGACCAGGGGAGGGCAAACTACGGTCCGCGGGCCAGATCCAGCCCGTCAGGGTTTCAATCCAGCCCATGGGATTGACAGCCCCGTGGCTCAGCGGGGCTAAGGCAGGCTCCCTGCCTGCCCTGACCCCGTGCCACTCCCGGAAGCAACCAGCACCATGTCCCAAGCAACCGCCCCCTGCAGCTCCCATTGGCCGGGAATGGGGAACTGCAGCCAATGGGAGCTTCGGGGGTGGTACCCACAGGCAAGGGCAGTGCGCGGCGGAGCTGCCTACCCCACCCCATCCCACCCACCGGAGCCACCGTCAGGCATGCTGGCCACTTCCGGGAGTGGCGCGGGGCCAGGGTAAGCAGGAATCCTGCCTTAGCCCCGCTGTGTGCTGCTGCCACCCCGGAGCCACTAGAGGTAAGCAGCGCCGGACCGGAGCCTGCACCCTGAACCCTTCCTGCACCCCACACCCCAGTCCCCTGCCCTGAGCCCCCGCCACACCCCAACCCCCTGCCCTGAGCCCCCGCCACACCCCAACCCCCTGCCGCACCCCTCCTGCACCCCAATCCCCTGCCCTGAGCCCCCAACCCTCTGCCCTGAGCCCCCTGCCACATCCCTGCACCCCTCCTGCACCCCAACCGCCTGCTCTGATCCCCCTCCTGCACCCCACACCCCACACCCCTGCCATAGCCCTACATTCATGGCCCTGCATACAATTTTCCCACCCAGATGTGGCCCTCAGGCCAAAAAGTTTGCCCACCCCTGGCCTAGACTATTTAAAAGATCAACTTCAGGATGAATACTATGGCTGACAATGCCACTCCTCTGGCACAACATGCTCCCTACAGTGAGGGAGAAGCTTGTCTGTGCAAGAGAACGAATATTTTTTGAGGGGGCCAGTTCCACACTGTGGAATGAACTCCCCCAAGAACTAAGGACCATCACACACCTCATTACCTTCCACTTGAAGGGCAAGGTGCATTTCTACAACCTTGCTTTCTCACTTAAACACACATGTACATTAAAAAAGAAACAAAAAAAATCTTACAAACAAACCCCTACTAAAACACTACAGTGCAGACACAATTCTCCCCCTGTGGAGAGGATGAGAGAAAGAATGAACCATGTGACAGATGCTAGTCACGCTGCTTAATGCACTGCTGGAAGGCGGTGAGAGATACCATGGTGACAAGGACTGTATAAGAACCTAGGTAAAACAGACTATGTTTGCATTACTGCCGAGTTTGTCCATTTTGTGTATTTAGTAAAGGGCGGCTATCTGCTAAGAGGTTTTCTACTGCCATATAAGTGAAATGGAAAGAAAAATAAGGGTCTCAAAAATTAAATCTTTTATGTCTTATATAACTAATGTTGCAATAGTAAATCATATCAACACAATAATTAGGAGCTGCAAAGTTTGTCCTTACCTTTCATTGATCTTCACTCCGACTTTGTCTAAGCCGATTGTTCTTGTGCATGCATCCCTTCCTACTGCTAACAACACCTGAAAAACATCAGCGCACATATTAGTGATTTCCTAAGAGCATGGAAGGGCATTTGCATACTTATCTGTTATTATATCTTATTTGTATTATGGTAATAGCCAGAGGCCCAATCAGAATCCCACTGTGCAAAGCATTGCACAAGCACAAAGTTAGAGACAATCCCTGCCTCTTCCATGAGCTAATGGTGCCAGCTGATATTTTTAGCATTAAGCCCAGTTAAATATCTTCCCTCAAGAAAACATCCCCAAATGCAGATCAGATCCTGTCTCTCCATTCTCTCATCTGTGATACAGAAGTATTATGACACTTTTTTTAAAAAAAAATCAAGACGTGACTCTGCAACAGTTCTTTAATGAAAGGCTTCCTTAATTAGGAAACTCAAAGGCGTTGGCAAATAAGAAGAGAGCAAAACGGTTCCCTCTTTTTGTTTTGGCTCTGGAACCCCAAGCAGCTATGTCTAGATATGTCCCCTAAGCAAGATGATTGTTAAAGAGGACTTATCTCTTACCTCCACACAAGCATCTGCTCAGAATGTTGGCCAGGCCAGGTGAAATTCTTCACCTATCCCATCAACTGGCCACCTCTTTGAGCATGGTAGATTCCCAAAAAAGGGTCCCTCAAGATCTGCAACTATGGTCAAGGAGTTGCTTCAGCCCTCACAATGTCACACATCCAACCACTAAGAACTGTTGAAGACATGTTCAAAAACTCCCTCTCATCCCTGCTGGGTGACTGAGCACATCAGATATGTAATACTACCAGATGGTTCAGCTAAATTTAGTTCTCCAGCAGAGTAACTGATTACATTCTTAACTGAGCTGACACATCAGCTCATTGGTCCTAAATGGGATGACAGCCCTCGAGAAGGAGAGGTCAAGGTGATATAGTCAGTGCAGGGGTATTGGTGGTGGGAAATCAGCAGCTTTCTTTACGAAGAGATGGCTCAAGTTTTGAGACCTGGACTTCTCACTAGCGTAAGTCAGAAAAAAAGGGAAGTAAGTAATTAATGTCACACAGCACAATTATTATTAAACATTTGTATTATGGTAGTACCCAGAGGCCCCAGTGTGATACACTGAGATACACAGAGGCTCTGTACATACATTGAGGTAGACAAGTCCGTGCCCTCAAGCACTTACAATCAAAGGCCCGGATCTCACAAGGCTTAACTTTATGCACTGTAAGTAGTCTCATTGACTTTGTGTACATAAGTCTTTTCAGGATCAGGGCCTAAGAAAATGAGTGGCATGCAAAAAAGTGAGGGGAAAAGGGCAACAATCAAATATATATAATACACACACACACAAATATACTATTTTAGTTTTGTCATTACATAAATAAGTATAGCTTTCCCTAGCTGTCCTTTAGCCTAGCCATTAGGACAGAGGTCAGCAAACTGTGGGGCATGCCCCCCCCAGGGGGGTGCAGAGGAATGTTCGGGGGAAGGGGTGGCTGGGGCCCAGGTCATCCCCCACAGGGGGCGAGGAGGGAGCTCCATCCACCTTCGCTCCTGACCCCAGCACTGGCTGCTGGCTCCGCGCCCCACTGCCGACCCCATGCCCTGCTGCCGGCCCTGCGCCTGGGGTTCCAGCTGCCAGCCTCACGCCCAGAGCTCCACTCTTGGCCCCACCCCCAGCTTTGGCCCCCTTATTCCTGTCCACATTCTCCTTCCCTCCCCCCCACCCACACAGTCGCGGCCCCGCTCCCAGTCCCGGGGGGGAGGGTGGAAACATGGACAGGAGCAAGCGGGAGGCATGAGGTAAAAAGTTTGGGGACCACTGTATTAGGCATTGGGTGATTTCATGTAAGTGTTGTTTCACCAGTTGGTCTTGAGAAGGGACCAGGTTTATTTGTGTCTGTTTTTTACAGAGTCCATCTGTTGTATGCTAATATTGCAGTAGCATGCTGCAGCTGTAGTAGAAGCCATTATGTATCCTCCTTTACCAATAGTTTATCGTGGGTAACTCCTTAGGGCCAAATCCTGCAAGTGGCTCCACACCTGCAGACCCCTGTACTCCCTAAAACCTAATGAGTAAAGTTTTCAAAGCAGCTAAGTGGCTCAAGCAGCCCAAGTTCCCTTGAAAGTCAGTGGGACTCATGCTCTTATGCCATTTAAGTGCTTCTGCAAATTTTACTCACCATCTGTTGCAGATATACAGGAAACACATCTTGACATTGAGGCCACGTCTATATTTACCGGGGATCAATGCTGCTGCAATCAGTGCAACAGGAATCCATTTAGCGGGTCTAGTGAAGACCCGCTAAAATCGACCGCAGAGCGCTCTCCGGTCGACTCAGGTACTCCACCAGAATGAGAAGAATAAGGTAAATCAATGGAAGAGCATAGACACCGCGGTAAGTTGACTTAAGCTATGTCAACTCCAGCTACATGAATAAGTCAACTTACCGCAGTAGTGTAGACAAGGCCTGAATAATAAAAACCACTTCAATCTCCAGAAGATCTCTCCAGCAGCACTAAATCTTAACGTTCACTGAAAGGTTTTTCCATGCTCTTCTTTATCAATGTGAAGGCACCATTATGAATTACTTACAGTGTTGTATTCCCCTTCAATTATTTCCCTGCCGTCTGTGGACTGGGCTATGACTTTCAATTTGCCAGGAGTTCCTTCCTCAATCCGTTCGACCTACAATATTTGAAAATTAAGCTTTACTTTCCAAACGGGAGATATGCAGGAGTAAAATGCTAACGCTGCAGCTGTTTTCACCCTAGCATAACAGAGTGAAAGACAGAAATTGAGTATCTAATTGCAGCTAGGTCTCCACTCTGAGAATGATCCTATGGACACTTCAAAAGCAAGATATATCACAATCTTTTCCATGGCACTTTCTTTCCTTTGATGAATACACAGGATCTGCTCTCACCAAAGGGAAACTAACATTTAATCAAACAAAATTAAAGAACAGACTCTGAATCTATTTAGGTTGCAAATCCATGCAGTGGTTCTCTGTAGTGCCACACCTCCTTTTCACTCTGAGCCATGTGAAAGACTGTGCCTCCTAAAGTACAATCCCTTTCTGTGCTTCCCCAGAGGCCGTGAGGCTCCATGCTGCCTCTGACCTGGGGCGGTTTATAAAACACAATCTAGCCCTTTACCATGGTATGAAATTTTCAGGGACAGTTTTACTGCATAATTACCTAGCAACCCAGAATAATAAACTGTAACAACTGTTCTCGTGATTATTTTATATTACAGTATTTAGGCACAGAAAAGGCAATTTTTTCCTAACAATTTCTTAAAATCTTTGTGCCACTGGACCCATTTTACAGGTTGCATTGAATCAGCACAGTATTATTTAGGGCAATGGTTTTCAAACTTTTTTTCTGGCGACCCAGTTGAAGAAAATTGTTGATGCCCACGACCCAACAGAGCTGGAGATGAGGGGTTTAGGCTATGGGAGAGGCTTAGGCTGGGACAAAGGGTTGGAGTGCGGGGGTGAGGGCTGCAGGGTGAGGTTCAGTGTGTGGGAGGAGGCTCTGGGCTGGGGCAGGGGCTTGGGGTGTGGGAGGGGATCAGGGCTCTGGACTGGGGGTGCAGGCTCTGGGATGGGGCTGGGGATGATGGGTTTGGGGTGCAGGAGGGGGCTCTGGGTTGGGGGGGGTCAGGGCTGGGGCAGGGACGCGGGCTTACCTTGGGCGGCTCCTGGTCCATGGTGCAGCGGGGGTGCTAAGGCAGGCTTCCTGCCTGTCCTGGCACCACGGACCGTGATGCGCCCTGGAAGCGGCCAGCAGTAGGTCCGGCTCCTAGGCGGAGGCACGCAAGCAGCTCTGCATGGCTCTCGCCTGCAGGCACTGCCACCCCCAGCTCCCATTGGCTGGGAACCAGCCAATGAGAGTGCGGAGCTGGTGCTCAGGGTGGGGCAGCATGCGGAGCCCTGTGGCCCCCCCCACCTAAGAGCCGGACCTGCTGCTGGCCACTTCTGGGGCGCAGTGCGGTGTCAGAACAGGTAGGGACTAGCCTGCCTTAGCTGGGCAGCACCGCCGACGGGACTTCTAACACCCCGGTCGGCGGTGCTCACCAGAGCCGCCGCGACCCAGTGCCTTACATTCCGCAACCCAGTACTGGCTCGCGACCCACAGTTTGAAAACTACTGATTTAGGTTGATGCATCCGCTGTCTCACAACATTCAACACAAGGCTTGATACTAAAATGGAATGTACATAACTTCAAACACAGTGCCAAAAAGGAAAACAAGGAAGCTGGCTGCTGAAAATCTGCCCAGCCATCTGAGACTTTAATGTCAAAGGATATTCCTGAATGGATACAGGACTGAATCCGGCTCCCACTGAAGTCAATGGCAAGGTAGCAGAGACACAGTATGCAACAGTCAAAAATATATTCTGCAAGTAATGCAGAATGGGCTCAATCCTGCAGTGTGCTGAGCACTTGTGACTTCAATGGGAGTGGAGAGTACTCAGCACTTTACAGGAAGGCTCAGCATCTTGTAGGATCGGGTCCAATAAAAACTGCTGCACTAAATATGGAGCAATTAGAAGCTAAACATTCAGCTCTCTCTTTTTCATATGCCTAGGGATTGCTACAGTTTATGCATGAATAAGAACAGAAAATTCCTTGCAATCTCCCCTCTAACCTTTCGGGATAAATCTCTTATCCTTTATGAGAACAGAGTGAGTTCACACTATAGAAATTGGCAATTCCCCCCCCCCCACACACACACACACTTGTTTTTTAAGCCTACCCCCTGGTGCGCTAGGAGTGAAAAGAATGGAATGCATTTTATTTAATTTTTAATCCTTGAACACCTAAAACATTATAATGTATTGGCTTAGCGCCTAATGGAAGTTGTTTCGTAATTCCTTTCCCGTTTTATAATAATTAAACCCTAATCATTAAGCAAATGCTGTTGGCACCCGCCCTGGTTTTTGATAGTAATTTTACATAAAGGACAAAAAAGCTCTATGGGTCCTTTTTATGGCCTTAATTCATCTAAGAATATGCGTAACTTTACCAGGCTTACTCATATGCATAAAGTCAAAGTTAAGCATGTGCTTACGTGCTTTGCCAAATCAGGACCTTTTTGTTGCCTTATTTTAACCATTATCTTACACTGTAAAGATACAATTGTATATTTTTACAGTTAAGCCCCAGTCCTGCATTGGGATCTTATGGTGTGGATCCCAATGCCCACACATAGTTCCATTAAAGCCACAAGTGCAGGAGTCCATATCTGGGGATCCCCATCCTGCAAACACTACATATGAGTAAAGATAGACACATGTGTAATTATTTGCACGATTGGGGACTAAACTGCAAGGTGGTTGGTATTTGATTTTTTACAATATTTTCAATAAAATAATCAGATAAACATTCTTCTTCTTTTTATTGCACAGTGAAAAGAATTTTCTTGTCACCTTGCAAATTTAAGGCATTATGCTGCAAATACTTACTACCATACTTAGTAGTTAATATCCAAGGATAGCTCCCCTTGACTCTACTGGGTAGTAAACATTAGGTACTGCAGTAAGCATTTGGAGGCTCAGAACGTTACAAACTGAAACTGGCATTCAGTTTAGCCTCATGTAATGTGAACGCTTTCGATGCATTGGCCCCAGTTCTGCAAAAACTTATGCATATGCTTAACTCTGAGTATGTGAATAGTGCTGCTAACTTCACTGGAACTATTCACATACTCAAAGTTAAGCATGTGCATTAAATGTTTGCAGAATCAGGACCTTCATTTCCAACAATATTTTTAGCACAGGAGGCTAAAGAATCTAATTCTTATAAAGAATTTTAAAACCTCAGGCAATTTAAATAATTAAACTAGACTGATTTTTATAAACTTTATCTAATTGAAAACTACACAGTCAGTTACAAGGTAATAAAAATTAACCTTACTTATGTTTTAGCATATCCAATAATATGGATTAAACTTTTTGTTGTCATTAAGATAGATAATTCATGCTTCTTAAAATACTATAATCTGAACATTGCTTTCATTTATGTTTATATACCACTTTCAAATGTTCCAATGAAAAGGCTTACCTTAGTTGGCACAAACTCTCTAATAAACTTGACTCCATGTTCTTCCATATGTTCCCCAATTTTGTTTGCCATTTCCTGATCAAATCCTCTTAAAAGGATGGATCGTACCATTACAGTTACATCCAAACCAAGACCTGCAAGAAATCCAGCACATTCAAGGGCAACGTAGGAAGCTCCAACCACCAGGGTCTTCCCTGGACAGTAAGGCAGAGAGAAGAGATCATCACTGAAAAAAATAAAACATATTAAATTAGACAGACTATTTAAGACAATGCTTTACAACCGATAGCTATTTTTCTATAGCGAAAACAGGAAATCTTTAGAACTAGGAATTCACTATGTACATAATTGGAATCTGAGGTCAACACATGGCAGAGAAGTTCTAATTAGGAGCATCAAAAATGAATGTGGAATACTCTAGTTTGCCTCTCAGTTTGTCCAAATTACAAAAAAAAATTATGGATTGTTTACAATAAAGTATAAGCAGCTGTGCAGATCTTAGTGTCTGCTTTTCTTAAATTTGAATCTCATTGCAAATGGTGTTGTAATGAGTTAACTGTTCACAAGGAAGAAGGTTCAGTATGTAGATAAATGTACCATCTGGACTTTTTTTTAAGATTTTATTTTAATCAGTGTTATACAGAATATTAAAAATACAACCAATATGCAAATAAAACAATATAACAAATGTGCACAAACCATAACTATAGGTGGGGCTATTAGGTCCACACGTAATTAAGGTTTCCTGCAGCTTCCTGTTAAAAGCCCTTATTTACAGTTATATATAAGTTTGCTAAACTTTAACTGTTTGGGCTGAAGTTTTCCAACATGAGTGTCTGCTTCGGGCTGGATTTTTTAAAAAATGTTTCAGCAAATACAGTTCAACTGTTTCCAAGAAGGAAAGTAGGAAAATGTAATTGTTTAATATGAGCAAAATAACTTCTTTCAACTGTTTTGTGGAGAGGCTTTAGCTCCACCATGCTTTAGAGCAGCGGTTCTCAACCTATGGATCGGGACCCCAAAGTGGGTCGGGACCCCGTTTTAATGGGGTCGCCAGGGGTGGCATTAGACTTGCTGAAGCCTGTGGCCAAAGCCCGAGCCCCACCACCCAGGGCCAAAGCCCAAGCCCAGCCACCCGGGGTCAAAGTCAAAGCCTGAGGGCTTCAGCCCTGGGTGGCAGGGCTCTGGTTACAGGCCCCCGGCCTGGGGCAGAAACCCCTGGGCTTCAGTTTTGGCCCCACCAGGCTTTGGAATTGCCCCCCCTCACCCCGGGCAGAGGGGCTTGGGTGGGCTCAGGCTTTGTTCCCTGCTCCTGGGGTCGTGTAGTAATCTTTGTTGTCAGAAGGGGGTCACGGTGCAATGAAGTTTGAGAACCCCTGCTTTAGAGCAATGGCTTGCAATCTGGCAACGGATGCATTCCACATGCTTAGTAGAGATTTGTTAGAGTTTGGCAGCTAAATTCTCCAAGGATTCCGTCTATAATAAGCATGCTCCAGCCCAGGACTGCAGGGACTGAGCAGGATTCTCCCTGAAAAAGCTACTGTAGAAAAAACAATGTGATCATGTAATTAAAGTCTGTATTATAATGCATGCACACAAAGGGACCGGATTGAGATTGACAGGCAAACTATTCTGGCATTTCCTAACTCCTGAGTGCCTGCTTGACTTTGCAATCTTAATGTTCTTTTAACAGTTTTTTGTATGTAATATATATAAAAAAGATGTCCACTCTCACCACTTCCTGTTAGTAGAGAAGTGTGAAATTTGGCTGTTTCCATTCATAGGAGTTTATTCAAACTTTTTATTTGTTTTGACTCACATAGGTTTGCATGCCCATAATTTTTGTCTTTGGTTCCATGCTCCAAAGAATCTAAAAGCTAAACTCAGTTGAAACCACTGCATTTCACCTGGATGTGTGTTAAAACCTTGTAAAGCCACAAGTTTTGTGTGGCTTTCACAGAGTCATAAATCGGTTCGCATTTACCCATAAAATTCATGAAATTTTATGAACTTCTTTGGAAACCTGGATTGAGTTTCAAGGTTGTAACAAGACAAGAAGACAGGCAAATTTCATGTGGTTTCACAACAAAAACTCTAGTATTTCTTGGGTCAACAGTACTTCAGCTCGCTGCATGTGTTTATACAGACTGCTGACTTGTAGAAGTGGAAATGCTTTCAGACTCAGGATTTCCTCAGCACTTGTGCAGAGAGGCTTCCTCTAAGTGTACAGTGCTCCTCGACTTGAACAAACCACTACAGCTGCACTGAACCGGGCGCAGGTGAATAGGGAGGAAATGAGTGCGATGGGGATGGAGATAGGCCTGATGAATTAATGCAAATTATGGGCATTCTGGCATTCTCATTTATGGCATCCTCAATTACTGCTGCTGTCAGCCAGGAGTAGTACTACCAAAGGGTCGCATGAAACATGGCTCATAGCTAAGTGCTCACAGCCTCGTGATGTATGCTAGGTCTGGTGTTCTTGCTGGTCCATTATTCTGCCATGGCCATTCTCCTCCACTTGTGTTACTTTACAGGGCCATGAGTAATGACGCACCATGCTCAGCACCCCTACTCTCTTACAACCTGCAGCACTCACACCATAGGAGACCATTTTAAAATAGGCATAGTGGATTATTCTGCATTCTTGCCCATTTTTACCTGCTAATGCAGTATTCCTTGTCTCCAGGGACACCCAGGTAGCGCGGCCTTTCACCAGTGGCAATCAGAAATTTCTCCGCTGTGTAAAATTTCTCTTTTCCTTTGTTATTTGTTGCCTATATGCAAAGCAACAAGACATAGTTTGTATTTCACACTCTTACCAACAAGAAGATTGTTGTGTGTCAGAAAAGCATCTTTGTCCAAAAATAGTAAAGAAGGGCTAGAGGACACATTGCTATTCGGTACCTTAATTGTGTGCGGGCCAACAAATTCTCCGAAAGCATTCTCGTATGTGACCTTCTTCTCTCTCAAAGACACCCTGTAGCCCCAGTTGAGAGAGCCAATGTAATTCTGAACAGCTTCTGTCATCGTCTCCCAGCTGTGTTTGACTGCTGAAGAAACAAAAAGATGTCCAGCTTTTAACCTGTCTATCCTTCATTTTCCCCAGCCTTCCAACAGGGCTCTCACATAACAGTAGTCACACAGGGCCCAATTCACCACTGTGTTACTCCTGTTTCACCCTGGTGTACCCCCTGAAATCTAATGAGTTACACCAGCAAAAAGTTGGAATAAGGTAGTGGTAAGTCTGACCTACAGTGCTTACCACATGGCTGCAACAACAGTGGCAGGCAAGCATTTTGCTATCAGTGGGCTCCGACCAAGCCATTCAACATCTTGTCATTTCCTATTTTTTTTAACCCTTGAAGCTTGTAGCTTTATCTCAGTATCAATATTATTCTGCTGACAACTGTTGTGAGCAGGTGTCTGTTAAAACATGAACAGGTTACGTCTCTTTGAGAATTGCCTCGGCATATTCCCACTTACGGGAGCATGCCTGCATCAAATCCAGACCCACATATATGGACATGTAGGGTTCATTATATTAAAGTTGGAAGGAATCAATGGGCTATAAAAATTGATCCTGTAATGTATTTAAGCATGTGTGTCATCCCACTGAACTCAATGGCAGGGCTGGCTCTGGCTTTTTTGCCGCCCCAAGCAAAAAAATAAAAAAAATAAAATAAAAAATAAAAAGGAGAGGCGGCAAAGCAAAAAAAACCCAAAAACCTGCGGCGTGGCTGGAGCCAGGGTTCAGGGGGACTCCCTGCGCTGCACACAGGGGAGGGTGAGGGAGTGGGGGGGGAGAGAAGGGTGGCGGCCAGGGCTTCAGCGGGGCACTGCCACGCGGCCTCGACCACCATGCCGCCTGCTGGGAGGGTTCCCCGCCACTCCGGTCGGCTGGGAGGGAAGGACGCGGGCTGCCCTGCCAGGCTTGCTGCAGGGCGCTCCCCTCCTCCACGCCGCCGCCCCCTACAGGGCAGCCGGAGCGGAACAACAACAACAACAACAACAACAAAAAGTGGCCGTGCCGCCCTAGGATGGGGCGGAATGCCGCCTCGTACAATCTGCCACCCCAAGCACAAGCTTGCTCGGCTGGTGCCTGGAGCCGGCCCTGCTCAATGGTACCACTCCTTCTTAAAGCTAGCACAATCTGAATTGCTTTGCAGCAGAGGTTCTGGAGTGCTCAGCACCTTGCAGGATAGAGTTCTGAATGAGGTACATGAAAATTAAAAGATATGTTTTTTTAAAAATTTCTATACCTTTCTCCTCAAACTGCCATCCAAACTTGCGTGAATCTTGTAAGGCTTGTCCTAGCAAAGCTGCCTGGTGCATCAGTTTTTTAGGTATACAACCCACATTTACACATGTCCCTCCAAGACCTAAGAGAGGAATAGAATATGTTTTATGTATGAATGTGCTCTGTCCTAAAATAGAATCTGAGTTTTTAAATAAGAAATGTCCCTTTATAACAACATGACTGTATTCAGCAGAAATTTACCCCATCTAGTTCCCTGAGGAGTAGGAGTAACGTAGTCCAGCACCAGCACTTTCTTGCCATACTTGGCAGCCTCCTGGAGAACAAATTAAACAACACAAATATCTAAATATTAGAACTTATATCCATACTACATGATAGCATCATACACTGCTGAAAATCAATGTCATTTTTAATTATGTAATAACAATTGAGTTGCAAAGGCATGGCCAGGTGATCATTAACCTTCAGGATTAATCTACAAGATGGAAAAGAGGGAGGGGAAACAGGCATATAGATTTCTACAAGTGATGCAGTTTCATTTGGTAGGTTGAGGGCACTGCTAAAGAACTGATGCTCTCCACTTCAGCCAGTCATATTGCTTAAAAAATTTCTCAACATTCCATTTGTTTTAAAATCCTCCTAACAACATTATTTATCTGGTTCTCGCTTTAAAAATGTGTTTCTACTGCATTTATCTGACATGTCCTATAGCAGCATAAAGGCTCCCGGCACCAAATTCTGCCCTCTGTTACATCTCTGCACATCCCCTGCACTTCAGTGTGGGTGTGCTGGTATACATGAATACAGAATTTAGCTCATGATCTGTAGATGTCAAGAGTGGCATTTGTTTTTCAAACTAGTAAACCTGATATCTTGAATGACCACAGCTGGCTCATGCGTTATTAATTATATTCCATCATATGAGGGGCTCACAGCTAGTTAAGCAAAACTCCCACTGACTTCAGTGAGGCCAGGATTTCGTTCTATGAAACTATGAATTTATACAACTTCTTCCATTAAAAATAAAATGACTGATCCAAAAATGAAAAACAAAAAAGTGTGCGCACACGAACGTCTATGTACACACACACACACACACAGAAAGATTCCCAGGTAGATATTAATCTCAGACAAAAATAAAAACTTTTTTATAATAATTTCAGAATAGCTTTTAAAATACTCTCAGCAATTTAATCCAAATGCTAAGAAAACCTCTCAAGATATTTTCCCAGAGTTTTCTAACAACAGCTCTTGAAGAGGAAAAAAAGGTCAAGTTTTATTTTATATTCACTTTGTTACATTTTCATACTTTTCATCTTCAGAACAACTGTCTCTTTAAATGAGGATACCATGCCCCTGGGACTAGCACCGGAAGATCCACAAAAGAACAAGAATTAATTTGATGTCTCTACAATATTAGAGATATTCAGACCTGAAATGTTCAGGATGTATTCTGCTCAATTATCAATGGCTCATAAATTTGCGTTTTGTCACTCATACCTTGGAAGCAGCCAGACCTCCAGAACCCCCTCCAATGACAATGAGATCATAGTCATAGGAATCCTGTACATGATCATGTCCTTTTGTTTCAAGTAGTTTTTGAATCTTTCCTTCCTTATGTGCCTGAAAGAAGAAAACAAAGAGACAAATCTATTCAAAGAAAAGCATTATCCATAGCTCTCAAATCTGAATCAATGACAAAATGAATACTTCCAGTGAGAAACAGGTGCTGGGGGAGGGAGGAAATGGGTATTTTTTGATTTTGCAAACACTGCTCCCAGTTAGCTTCTTAGGGCTGGTCTACACTTACCCCCCAAATCGAAGTAAGGTACGCAAATTCAGCTACGTGAATAACGTAGCTGAATTCGACATACCTTACTTCGACCTTACCGCGGTTCAGACGCGGTCCACACGCAGCAGGCAGGCTCCCCGTCGACTTCGCGGTACTCCTCTCGCTGAGCTGGAGTACCGCAGTCGACGGGGATCACTTCCTGGTTCGATTTATCGCGTCCAGACCAGACGCGATAAATCGAACTCGGAACTTCGATCCGCAGCCGTCGAACTAACCGGTAAGTGTAGACTAGCCCTTAGGGTTGTATCTTTGTAATCCATACTCCAATAGCTCCGCTTCCTGCATAGACACAAAAATATGAACCTGCTGCCTTTGTGCAGGTTTGGTCTGAACAGTTCAATGTACTGCATTAAATCAGCCCTAGTCGCTGTTCAGACTATATAATATGCTGACACAGAGTGAATTCAACAGGCCTATAATTTGTTGGGGTTTTTAAAATAATTATTCCCCCATCCGCCGCCACCCTTTTCTAGAATTGTTTTTTCCACAGCATGTCTGAGCAGGAAAATTCAGCAATGCATACTCCCTGAAAACATCCCCTAAAGTTTTAAACAAACTTCAGTTACCACTCTACCAACTACATAAACTAGTCTGTCTCTTAGAAAAGAACACTATACTTAATGTTTTTTGCACGTGGCTTTCCCTGAGGTTTGACATAATAGTTTTAGCTTTCATTCCAGAATCATGGGAACAAATGCAAGAAAGTCAAATGAAGTCAATGGAGTTGCACCAGGGATGAATTTGCTTCTGTTCTCTTTTTGTGGATTAGCTGTTGTTATTCTGCTCTAATAGTCATGCATTTGGACAGCTGTAGTCTACAAAGCACATTCCATTAATCTTCATATCCCTCTGTCCAAAATCAGCCATTGTATTAAATTCGTGGGGCCTCATTTCAATGGGATTTAGACTAAGTAAAAAAATGAAGGTTTTTCCCCACAAGGCCTGATACTTGATGTTGCAGGCAAAACTTCCATTGACCCCAATGGCACAAGATAAGACCTCTAGTGAGCAAGGACCAGGTCCTCAGCTGGTGTCCATGGGCATAGCTCCAAATGACTTTCCATACTAAATAAACATGCCTGTATGTTAAAGGGACACAGCCACCTTTGAAACCACACAGCTTTCTGAGAGCTCGTTAGCTACTGGAAGAAAGCTGGAAGGAAATTTTTCATCAAAACTCTTTTTGACAGAATTTTTGTTGAAACCAAAGAATTTAGAAAAAAAGGTGTTATTTCGACAGACATTCCCACAGAAAAAAAATATTTGAAACTAAAAAAAAAAATGTATTTCAGAAAATTTGGCATCTTGTAATTCTGAAACTTCATTTCAGAATGTGGAGCTCCATAGAACAGTAACACAGCCAGGCTGGGGCTGAATAACCTTCTCCGGATAAATTCTGCAAGGTCAGAATGGGAATGACAGGCATCCTCCTACCCCATTGTATACTTCTGCATGGACCCCTGACTGAGCAGAGAAGCCTCTGCAGTGTCCAGAGCAGGGGGAAGTGCATGAATCCCTCTTCAGCACAAAGGGATTGAAAGCCATGCATGGATCAGGGTGGGGTGGAGAGAAAGGAAAAGACATAGCTGTCTGTCTGTTAGTGTCTTCCTTTATTGTTCTGTTTCTTTCAGACAGCAAGGAGAGAAAATCATTGAAAAACAAGAAAGAACACAGGAAAACGTGATGGCAAAACCCCCAAAATTGGCAGAGGGATTCAGGGAACAAGAATAGCACTTGACAATACCTTTAACTCACTTCATTAAACTGACTAAATTTCAAGACCCCCTTCAAGCATCTATCTATCTATTATAATTATATGCCAAGCACGTTTTTGTTGATTTAGCTGTTTGCACTGCATTGCGAGGTTATTATCCCCGTGGATCAAGATGTGAAAGTACATGAAAAGAACAAATGCATCAGATAAACATATTAAGAAAATACTAATTCACAGAACAAAATCAGGAAGTAAAAAATGAACAGATCAGGCAATACTCCACCCATCTCCCTGCCCCCCCCAAAAAACCCACACTAAGCAAACAACATCTCAACAAATTATGGTGCTGTCATTTATATCACAAATCACACATATGATAAATTAGCACAAATCATCCTTATGCCCTAAAGCCTCATTGAAATCACTACAAATTTCTCTCTATTTGGAGTTTCATTCACTGAGTATATCATATCTTCCAAAGAGTTAATATTCTACCCTATGCAATGTATTGTGACTCTCACACTGAACAGACATCATGTGTAGTGCATCTACATTAGGGGCTTTTGCCAGCACAGCTCTTTAAGTCACAGATCACATCTCATCCCTGACCAACATAGCTATGCTGGCAAAAGTCAGTAGTGTAGACTTGGCTGTAGAAAGCTAAATCAGAAGCATTAGATAATCACAGACTGCTTTTTAAAAATGGAAACAAAACCCTGAAAGCATCAGTGGCATCAGTAGCTGGGAACATGTAACCACACACATACAAAACCCACAGAAAAAAGAATATTGCATCTAAAACTTTGGATTCGTTTCCCCTTTTGTAACATGGCCTTTGCCCTATGGCTGGGTTCAAGTTCTATTTCTGTTAGAACAGCTTAGGAAGGAAGCATTTATTGTACTCAGTGAAATACTGTTTCACACTGTTCAAGTTTATAGAAATAAGTTTAAAAGGAAAGTGTGCTGTTTCTCTCCACCTCTCTTCCTCCCCAAAACACATCCTTTTGTTTGCCTGATGGCGACAGCCCTGTCTGAGGCTAGACAGCCGTCACAAAATAGCTATCAGATAACCATCAAACATAATTAGTGAGAAAAGCATCCTTGATGAAGCACACATCATAAGAAGAGACTATAACGCCTACGTCTAGTGTATCTGGAGAAGAGACGATACTTTATAAGTCATGCTTTGAAATTTTTTAAAAAAAGAATGTTTCATTTTGCATCACATAAGTTATGAAACTGTTTAGAGTCTTTACTACATCAGTAGTTCTCAACTTTTTCCATATCAAGATCCTTCCCCTCTCCCCCTTCCCAGCCTCCCTTTCAGAGCTCTGCTCTGATTTAGCTGGGATCTTGCCAGGACCTGCTTCCCATTCAGTAGTATGGGAAAAGGGTGATTGTGACTCAAGGCTGAAACAAACCCCCGAACTACACACTGTTAAAAGGAAGGCTGCATCTGTACTGATTCTTACCTTCAAATCTAAAAAGTTAAAAAGATCTATTCATATTGTTTTTTCCCCTACCTTTAAAGTTTTGTCATAATCTCCTATTTGCTTCCGTTGCACAAATACAATTGGTACTGAAGTTTCCATGGTTAGTTCATACAGTACGTCTTGCAGCTTCTGCCCATCCTCTGTGAAATAAAGTACAAAAGAATAGAGTCTAAAGTCTTCCTTTATGAAGGCTACACTGTGAAGTGAAATCACAGGGGGGCGTGGCTTTCTGTTTCTGAAGAATGATCACTCACTTCCCCATGAACTGGATTACACTTCAATGCAAGCCTGTTTCCTAAGGCAATGATGAGTCACATGCAAAGTTAGAATGACTTGCTATATTTTAGTCTGCTGAAATCCAGTAAACTGATCGGCTAGGATTCCTGCCAGTTTTACAATACATTTAGGAAAAAGCAGGGAAATTAGATTTTCTGTGGTTACGTTTTTAAGTTTTAAAGAAAATTACTACCAATATTTTTCTCTCTCAGCTCTCCAGAAAAAAAACCCTCATTATCCATTAGTTTTTTATGAAAATTTATTAAAAGTTTGGGATGGTTCTCTTTTGGTTAGTTTCTTCAAAACTCTTCCTTCAGTTGCATCTGTTAATATGACTAGGATTACCATATTTCAAATTCCCAAATAGAGGACACTGCCAAGGAGGGGGCGGGGAGAGTTAGAGGGTAGGTTAAGTTGGGGGGTGCTGGAGGAGTATTTAGGGGGTGAGGGTGTCCTGGGAGGGGTATTTGAGGGTGCTGGAGGAGGTACCTGGGAAGTGCTGGAGGGAATACTGTGGCCTCACACTCAAGGTGGGGGTTAACGTCGCACTCCCTGTCAAAGTGGCAGGGCAGCTGGTGCAGGACCGGGACACAACACTAGCACATCAGTCAATGTCTGTGGGCCTCTCCCCATCCCAGGGCAGGGAGCCTTGGCCTGGCCCTGTCACTCTCTCGGTCAGGCTCTAAGGCCCCGCAGCGCGACAAGCAGCACGGCTGAGAGGCGCTTGGCAGCTCCATTTACCTGGCAGGCCAGGGTGGGGTGGGGTGGGGTGGGGTGGGGTGGGTGTGATCCAGCAGCTGCGGATGCAGGGAAGGGACCGATTGGGGCATGGAGACTACTCTTTCTGAGCTGCAGCATCTGCTCCGCTAGCCCCCAGACATTTCCTCTTATTTGAAAAATCCACCCAGATAGAGAGCAGACTACCAAAAAAAGAGGTCATGTTCGGGAAAACCCAGATGTATGGTAACCCTAAATATGACAGAAATTTTGACTTCATAGAACTCAAATGCCAAAATCATTTCACATATAAAGTGCTATGTGTAATCTTAGAATGCCCAACTAAAGACAAAGATAATGTGACTGATTGAAAGCCAATTCTGTGGAGTACTTTTTCAGAAGGCTGGGTGAGATTTGCACCTCCTTCTTGGACATCAAAGTGGAAAAAAAAAACTACCCACTTATGTTCATAGAAAAGGTCTGTATAACAAATTAGCAGAAACAACTGACATTCTCCAATCCTGATGATGGGAGTGCTGATCTGGCACAGCACTGAATGCAGAGGAGAGGCAAGGTCTGCACACATGACAGGTTCTATGACCAGCTCTGCTCCTGAATCTCCATGTAACTTTGGTCAAGTCATGTAGGGTTTGATTTTCAGTAAGTTGGTCAGCGCGCACTTGTGTGAATTTAGCTGTGTGCATACTTCTCCTGCTTACTACAGGATGTGCAGTGCAAATTCTGGTTTGCACATGCACATGGCTAGACACACACCTGTCCTGGATATGTGCATATATATCTGGTAGTGAGCACACAAAGGAGAAATACAATTGTGCACTCATATGCAGACAGACCAACTTACTGAAAATTAGCCCTTCCTTAACTTCACTATTTCCTACTCCGTAACTTAGGGATAATACTCACTCGAGGCACCGACTTTCTAATTTCCCTGGGGGGCTCAACACCTACTCTACCCCAAGCCCTGCCCCCACTGTAACCCTTCCCCGAAGGCCCCACCCCACCTCTTCCTGGCCCTGCCTCACCTCTTTCTGCCCCAGCCCTGCCCCACCCCTCTCCCCCAGCGCTTCCTGAATACTGCTGAACAGCTGATCCACGGTGGGCGGGAGGCACGGGGGGGGGAAGAAGGAGCTGATCAGGGGGGCCACTGGTGGATGTTGAGCACCCACTGTTTTTTTCCCGTGGATGCTCCAGCCCCAGAGCACCCCCGGAGTCGGTGCCTATGATACTCACCTACCTCACAAGGCTATTGTGAAAAATAATTAACTAATATCTGTAAAGTGCTCTGAAAATACATATCATGTAAGCACTAGGTATTGTTATTAATTATGTTAAAGTCTTAATATTTTATTTTGGGGAAACATTATGTAGGAACCAACTGTAACAGGAAAGTCTGCCACTTTAAGGGGCAGCCTGGTTTGAGGCAGAGACCCTCTACGAAAAGGTGTTTGGGCCTGGTGGAGGCAATTATCAGAAGCACATGGGAAGGAAGAAGTCAGGTGATTCCCTGATGAGCACCTGACTCCTATCAAGGCTGAAAGAGCTCTATTGAGAGGGAGCGCTCCAAGCAGCAGTCCTGTGGCAGGGGGACTCCCAGGAAGAGTCTATAGTAAGGGTGGCCAAATTGTGTCTCACAAGCCGCATGAGGCTCTTATAGAGTTAAAGTGTGGCTCTTGGAGGCCCCCATGCTCCCTCCCCCATTCTCCACCTACCAGACTTGGGGGTGGGGAGAGCTCGGGACCTCTGCCTTACAGCAGGGTGGTGGGGTAGGGGCTTCTGTCCAGCAGGGTTTCAGCCCCACAGGGCACACCTGCCGGGGCTTCGGCAAGAGCAGGGCTGAAGCCTTGTGCCCGGCAGGTGCCTCCAGCAGGGCAGAAGCCCCAGGCCCTGGCAACTGTACCCTAGCTCTTGAACTTCTGAAGATTGTTGTATGCGGCTCGGAGGGTCAGTAACTTTGGCCATTTCTGGTCCATAGGAAGACTGGGGAAGAGTTGCCTGGCAGGGGCGCTGGAACAGTTTGTATAGTGGGGGTGCTGAGAGCCACTAAACCCTGTAAAGGATGGAAACCACTTCAGGACAGAAGGTGAGGCAGCACTCCCAGCACCTATGTTGCCAGGTGCAGAGAGGCTCTGGCAAGAAAGCCCTCGGGTTGAGGGAAGGGTGGCTGCTGGATTTATGTTGAACTGTTTGATTTTAGGGTTTGCTAAAGATTGTCAGTGCAACCAATAAATGGTGCCGTGAGGAAAGGGACTGAACAGACTCAGAGTGTCATGTTTAATCCTTCCTGAGCGGAGGGGACAGGACAGCAGCCGACACAATACATGCTGAGGAATACTGGGACAGAGTTTTTGAATACCTCCCAGGATTTGTACTGAGGTAGAACATTCCCCCTGCCAAAAAAAAAAAAAAAAAACCACCCTACGAAAAGCCAGAGTTCGGTGGACATTAAACAAATGAACCTTATGTTGTATTCCTTTAACAAGTTTAAACAGCTTCAAGAATGTTCATGTAAAAGTATACTCTGAACTTAGATAAAAATATGTTGGTTGGACAAGGCAAATTGTATACAAATAGCTCTAGTCACCCCAAGTATCTACCAGGGGAATTTAGTCATAAATTCATAGGTTCTCGGCCACTCCCTTGTTGCACTGGGCAAACTGCCAGAGATGAATGACAAAGCAAAGAAGTGCTTTTCATATCCTGTGTTTGTTCTGGCAAACACTCAGTATAATCTCTTCCATTAATGGTAATTACAATACTGCAGAGAGTTGGTGAATCAATATTTTCCCTCAGATAAACTAGCATATTCCTCAGGGCAACATCCACAAGCAGGTCTTGGATCTCACATCTAGCACATTTGGATTCTTCTCTGAGCCAGAGGGCATTTAGGGCCACTCTCATAGCTGGTGTAAACCAGCATAGCTCTAATGAAATCATGACGTCAGTGGAGCTGTGCTATTTACACCAGGTGACTATATGGCCCACAACTTTAGGAAAACCCATAAAAAGCTGGTTGGGCCATGATATTGGACCACATCTGGCACACTGTAACATTAAAGAAAATATGAAACTCCCCCGCCCCGTCACTAAATATACATTAATGTTAACAGCACTTTGAGATGGATCGTGTCTTAAAGGCACAACCCTGCACTGAATGGGTAAGGAGGGACTATGCTGCAATGGTAGCCTAGGAGGAATTCTTCCTGGGGTTATCAGAGAGTGCACGCTGCAGCTCTGCCACCCTTGAAATGGATGCAGTGTGTGCTCTCCTCACGTCTGGGCTCACCTGCTGGCCCATACAGAGACTCTACCCCCCTGTGCCTGCCCCCTTTGTGGAGGAAAGCACTCCTGTGGTAGCTCAGTGGAGCAGGATGAGGGGAGAAAAGCACAAGGAGCTTTTACCCCAGCCCTTGTGCCCCCTGCACGGGGTCCATTAACAATCTGATACTATAAAAAAACCAAGAAACTCTTTACAGTATTAAAAAGCCAAACAAAATTCAATATTAAGTGCAAGAGTAAAAGGGAGTAATACACGGAGGGCCTGATTCTCATTTACACTAAGGCCCCGCCTGAGAATTCAGACTAATGTTTGTGTAAGGAAAAAAAGCAACTGTTGCTTACATAAGAAAGAGTGGTAGGTGTAAACCCTCCAAGTACTCGCCATGCAGATCTAAGAAATGCACTTCAAGGCAAAGGTCTTTGTTGATTTAAGTAAGAATTTGCTCTCCATGTCACAAAGCAGAAACTTTCTGCTGATTTGCATTGGCGTGAATCAGCAAGAGAACCTTTACACAAGAAAGAATTTGATTGAAAAATTAGCTGTCATTACTACTCTAACAATCTGGAAGAGACAACTTAAAACAAATGCCTCATTTTAACAATGATGTGCCAGTTGCTTTACTCCTATCATCTAGAACCTCAGCAATATGGGTTACATCTGCTTAGAGTCCAAAAGACTCAAGTTTAGGGTGACCAGATGTCCTGATTTTATAGGGACAGTCCCAATTTTTGGGTCTTTTTCTTATATAAGTTCCTATTATCCCTCACCCCTGTCCCGATTTTTCACATTTGCTGTCTGGTCACCCTACTCAAGTTCAGTGGGCCAAATTCAAAGCTGATGTGCATAAGCTACACCTTGATGAGTGGGTGTAAATCGTAAGACTAGATCATGGCTCCAACAATTGCTCTTTGTGCTGTTGCAGAGGGCAGCTATGTTGGCTTTATGCCAGTGGCTTCTGCCACCCCTCAACCCTATTGCAGGAGATGTGTCAGGGGCTGGCTTGGGTGACACTGCACTGATCCCTGGTCAAAGGACCATTGTAGCCTAAACTACCATAAATGAGAGTAGCCCTGTGGATAGTCTATCTTGTGTCAGGGGGATGACCCAACCCCTGGCTCTGCTGAGACTAGAGAAAGCATGAAGGTGGTTTAGAGCCACATTTGCCTCCACAGTCAGGGTTCAATCGTTGGCTGTGCCAAAGTGAGCTAGTTGGTTAGTCAAAGATAATCTAAATGGGTGTAATGTACACACAAGGGACTTTATACGCCTCTCACTGACATCAGTGTAAGCCAGGAATAACCCACTGAAGTCAGAGGAGTTGTGTTACTGTAATATCATAAGTGAGATCAGAAGCAAGCCCTGTAGGTATGGATGAAGGTGCTTGTTACATGAACTTACAGTCTCACCTCTCAATTTAGTTACTTGTGTTTAATGTGTTTGAGAAGCACTGTACATATAAAAGCAATTTCACTACAATCTCACCTTTTCTCATAGGGGCTAAAACATTAAATAAAAAGCAGTATAGGATGAAGAAAGCATCGCTATCATTTTCAGACACCATCATGTAAATCCCAGCCATAGCTATAGCAGAATGAAACACACAACAGCAGTGAATCCCATTTGGAACTGTAGTTTTAACATGTCAGGCAGTTGTTCTGAGGAGGCAGGTGAGGAAATGTTTCACCTGTTTTAAAAGAACATCTATGCTCTCCATGAGGAAGAGATACAAAAAAAGTTTGTCTTTAGACTACAAGGAAGAACAGCGATCTCATTGTTTGCAGATACAGCCAACGAGGAAGTAGTCACAGGAAATATTAAGAAAGACTGTGGTGCTTGCAGACTTGCAGTATATTTATTTGCATACAAAAAACTCAACTGCAAAAGAGCCTCACCTGTCTGGTCTAGTTCAAGTGAACAGTAGGGAACGCTCATGGATTTGAACAGCTCCTTCACCTGCATAAAGCACAGTGAATAAATATTGACATTAATACAAAGCACTGAACACTGAAATTTTCCTTCTTCCCTCTACTAGGCCACCCACTTATCCTCTTATCTGCTATCTACATCTAGCCCATAAAAATCCTCCCACTGAGAGGCAATGTAGATGAATAGCTAGAGAAAAAACTCAGAGGTCATAGGTTCTCTTCCTGGCTCTGCCACTGCCTCATTGTGTCCTTGCGCAAGTCACTTAGCCAGTCTCTGGGACACATTAGGCCTTACTCCCAATGCTGAGCAGTTACTGTCTTGCACAAGAAATTCCACTGAGTTCTCTTATGGGCCACACGCCACTGGTATAATTTAGAGCAGTTCCAAGGCTGCTCTAACTCATCCAGAGGCTGGGACCAGTGTAAACTGGCCCACAGGATCAGGGAGCTGGAATTGGCTACCCAATGCCCTTCCTCCATTACACTCATCTCCCTAAGCCAATCAGAACTCAGATGCAGGGTCAAATCTGGCCTTGAGTTTTCGTTATAAATTTAATATTGACGAGCCCTCTAAAATCCATTAAAAAGGAGTCATGTTAACCTCATAACTGGTAAGTGAGGAGTGAGGTAGATTGTTCTGCCATATTAGAAGTTAATCGGGCAAGGTATTCATTAATTCTGACTCCTTAAAAATAGAGGTGAACACCAAAGTTCAATATGTCTTATTTTTCCCTCCATTTTTGCCACTCTGTCCTTATAATCAATGCCCTGAGAAAATCAGACACTCATAGTATCTTATCTATCCATTATAAGTTTCATTTTACTATTGACCACAAGTACTAGAACGATATAATCTTAGCAGAACAGCCACAGCACAACTCTGTGGCTTTTAAAGTCTTAGGGCCCAATCTTGCTTCCATCCAAAGTTAAGCTTGATTTGAGTGAGAGCAAGATGTCGGATGACTTGAGCTAGAATTCAGTTAAAAATACTGTACATTAACAGTAGGGCTTCTGGTTTTCAGTTTTAACTGATAACACCAATAAAACACTACTGATAAAAAAATGAAATCACTGCCTATTCAATAAACACTGGAAAAACTCTGGAAATAGTTACTTGTATCTAAGGGCTTGTCTACATGGAGCAGTAATGTCTACGGCGGTGATTTCTAATGCACTCTAACGCAGTGTTTTTCAAAGTTTAGGTCATGACCCACTACTGTGTCGCGGCATGTAAGGCACTGAGTTGCCTTGCTCAGCACACTGGGACCTAGCTGCTTTGGTCAGCAACCCCAGCCCAGAGCCCTGACCCCCTCCTGCACCCTAACCCCCTGCCCCAGCCCTGAGCCCCCCCAAAACCAGAGCCCCTCCTGCATCCCAAACCCCTCAGCCCCAGCCCAGAGCCTGCACCCCCAGCCCAGAGCCCTGACCCTCTCCCACACCCCAACCCCCTGCCCCAACCCAGAGCTCCCTCCCATACCCTGAATGCCTCATTCCTGGCCCCACCCCGCAACCCTCACCCCAACCCTCTGCCCCAGCCCTGAGCCCCTCTCTCATTCTAAATCCCTCATCCCCAGCTCTGCTGGGTCATGGGCATCAACAATTTTCTTCAACTGGGTCCCCAGAAAAAAAGTTTGAAAACCACTGCTCTAATGTGTTGTGCATTAATTGGTCCATGTAATGCACTGTTTGAAACAGTACTACATTAAAGTGCACTAGGAACATTAATAAATAATCTCTTCATACAGTATATACTAAGAGAAAGCCCCTTAGTGCCCTGATTTTTGGACATCTACATAAAATTGCTAAATTAAAAATAATGAATCCAAAATTGCTAAAAATAAATCCTGAAAAACAGAAGCCCTAATTAACAGAAATAATGGTGCTGTGCTCTAAGATAAATCCCTCTGCTAATGTGTGGGCCTGGACTTGAGACTCTAATGTATAAAATCTTATTCCAATTGCCCATCATTTTTAAAATTGATTTATTAACTTGAAATAAAAACTTCTGTTCCCCTTTGAGAAAACCTAAATTCTTTTTTAATTACATCCATTAGAGTAAAAATATACAATTAATGTGTAGAGGCATATGCAGGTAGTTAAATAATAAGTAGGAAATATCTTTATGTAGATGGGAATTTCCTTCTGGGAACTTCTCAACCTGCATAAGAGTTAAACAATTTATCCATAACAGAAAGAAAAAGCGGTCATCTTTTAAAAGAAAGATAATCCTTAGTTAATCAAACCCAATGAATACATGAAAAAGGCAGAAACTACTTTTCACAGTTCTCTTTCTCCAAAGGACAAACTAGAAAAATTAACTTTTCAAGAAATCTCTAAATAGCAGAGCAAGGGTATTACAGAAGCAAGGTAACTCAAGAAGAGGCATTGACAAAGGGATGATAAATTCTACACCAGAATTAATAAGAAATTTCATCTCGGTCACCTATCTGAGGGCCTGACCCAAAGCCTTGAAGTCAGTAGGAAAACTCTAATTTAGGATCAGGCCCTGAATGAATGGGCTGAGATTAAGAGCCAAAATTTAGCCCTTGCAGCTTAATTTCCATCTGGAAACAGAGCATTCTATGGCCCTCACTCAGCAAAGCACTTCAGCATATGCTTAGGTTTAAGCACGTGCTTAAATATGTCCCACTGAAGTAAACATAAAGTAAACTTAAGCACATGCTTAAGTACTTTGCTGAATTGAGGCCTATAAGCTGGAAGGTCAGGATCAGATATTTGTCAGGGACAGTGGGATGGGTGCCCGACGCAGGAGCAATCTGTAGCTGGGATTAGAGACCAGACATACACTTTGCAGGGAAAAAAAATAGAAAGATGGTTCTGGCTATGGTTGGACTAGGAAAAGTAGAGGAGACAGCAACTAACACCTGGATCTTGAAAATGACTTCACATGGACAGACTCCTGTGCCCATGTGGAGCCATGCTGAAGTCAATGGGATCTTGCAACTCAGTTACATTAGTGAAATGAAGAACAGTGAACTTGTAAGATATGACAAATCCTGTATATCTCTGCGTGAAAATTAACATTTTACCTTAGCAGAGAGACTGCACGCTGTGTTACTGAAGATCATAACAGTGTTTTTATCTATGTAGGCCTGTATTTTAAACTGCAGGTCTGTATCTTTGTTTTTGCAGGAAGCTGTAATGGCTTGTCCATTGTTTGCATTCTGAGCTTCATGGTGATAATCTTCTGTTGCTATAAGAAATTAAAACAAAGTGGAGTAACCAAAAACCAGATTGTAAAATGGTTTATGATAAAGATGACATGCTGATAAGAGGTTCAGATGAAATTAAAATATTAATGATTTATTTCAAAGGGTTTTTAAAAACAATTCCCTATTTTTAGTCACCTGGTTCCATTGTTCTTTCTCTGTCCCCCTCACCCACCAGCAGGCAAAGTCTAAGGGTATGATTATACTTGGAGTTGGGGGGTTGATTCCCAGCTCAAGTAGACATACTTGTGCTAGCTTGCATCAAGCTAGTGTGCTAAAAATAGCGGTGTAGCTGCAGTAGCAATGGCAGTAGCAAGTGGCAGCGTGGGCTAGCTGCAGGGCCACCCAGAGGATTCAGGGAGCCTGGGGTCCCCCGCCGCCGAATTGCCGCCGAAGACCCGGCATTTCAGCGGCGGGTTCCGGGACGGAAGGACCCTCCGCCGCCGAATTGCCGCCGAAGACCCGGAGCAGAAGAAGCTCCGGGGGCCCAGGCCCCACGAGAGTTTTCCGGGGCTCCCGGAGCGAGTGAAGGACCCCGCTCAAGGGGCCCCGAAAAACTCTCGTGGGGGCCCCTGCGGGGCCCAGGGCCTGGGGCAAATTGCCCCATTTGCCCCCCCCCGGGCAGCCCTGGCTAGCTGCCCTGAGTACCAACCCACCTGAACCCCATGAGCACATACTTGGCATGGCTAGCCTGTGCTGCCACTCACAGCTGCCCATGCTACCGCAGCTTCTGTTTTTAGTGTGCTGCCTCAAAGAGAGCTAGCGTGAGTATGTCTACATGAGTTGGGACTCACACCCCTAACTCCAAGTGTAGACACAGCCTAAGAGCATGAAATGCTGAGCTCACTGAAGCCAATGGCAAAACTCCCACTGACTTCAATGAGGCCAGGATTTCACTGCATGACATTTTATGAAGACTCCTTACCATTCACATTTTTTGCCCTAGAAATCATAACTGAGGCAAGCTTTCAGGATTTGGCTCTGTTCCTGCAATCGGATCCATGCAGGAAGATCCCTGAATCCTTGTAGAACCTAATTACTGGGGTCCACCTATTCAGATCTCATTTCAGAACTGGAGCCTTCAGCACCATCAGCTGAGCATCAATGTTCCAAGACAGACTTAAACCTTTATCATATTCTTTTCCCACATGGCTGTGCCACGTTTTCAGTGAAGCATATGGGGATTTAGTCATGAGGCTCTAATTAATGTTAATGGAGATGTTTTACATGAGGGTAAATAGATTATGTGCTCATCTTAAAAGTTTCCAGAGCATTCACAATATAAATTACACAAGCCTAGTATAGAGCAAGGTTGTAGCAATTAAGTCAATAGCTCCTAAACTTTAATAATACCCCTCTTAATGACAGAATTTACTACTAATTATTTACTAATACTGATTTACTCCAGTATCTGAACATTTCCATCACCCATTTTATTTTAAAGTAAATAAAACTGGTTAAAATAAACTTAAATATAGAACTACTGTAGCTTTGTAGTATAACAAATGTCAATAATAGATCTCATAAAAAGCTTTATGACACATTTAGTTATAACTTATAAGAACCATCCTATAGGAACAACATTAAATTCTTAGCACTTAGGATCTGATTCATCAATTTCAGTAGCAGTTAGGAGCCTAAATACCTTTGTGGATCTGGGACAGTCTATTTTCAGACTATTTTCATACAAACATTAACTAATGGTATCATTTGTCCTGTCTCTCCATTACCTCCCTAATATTTGTTATTTATCCTTGTCATGTCATGTTTGAATTTGGAACCCAATCCCACAAACTAAATGGGATTACTTGTATGTGTAAGAACTGCATACACGAGTACAGGTTTGCAGGATCGGGTCCTAAAATTGTGAACTCCTCATGGTTAGAACTGTGTCTTTTATTTGTGAAGCACCAAATACACGTATAATGTAATAGAAAACTATATTTCATAGAGATACAAATAATAGTTAAAATATAAATATATTTCACATTTAATAAAATTCAAACCATTATATAATCTAACATTTCATGATCTTTTGGACATACCCATATCAATTATTGTTTTTATATAACTAATGTACTTCTGAACAATGGAAGATCATTTTAACATGAATAAAAAGATGCAGCATACTGTAAGTGGCCTAAACAAACTATGTGATTAGTCTCTATAAAGTCTCTATTGTCACTTGTTTGAGATGACCTGCATATCTGGGCTTCCTGCTTTGATGCTCATAGTTATTGTGGTCAACACAAAACGGGGGCAACCACAACAACAACAACTAGCTCTTATGGCAGACATTTAATGGATTAAAAACTAGCTAACTAAGAGCTTTCAAAATGTAAATGTAAATGAGGAATCGTCATCCAGCGGGTGTGTTTCCAATGGGGTCCTGCAGGAATTGGTTCTTGGCGCTGTGCTATTTAACATTCGTATCAGTGACGTAGAAGAAAACATAAAATCATCCCCAAAAAAGTCTGCAGGAAGTGGCAAAAAAATTGAGGAAGTGGCAAATAACGAAGAGGACAGGTCACCAACTGAGAGCAATCTGGACTGCTTAGTAAACTGTGTAGAAGCAAACAGTATATGTTTTAATATGACTAAATGTAAATTAGGGATGTAAGAGTTTAACCGGTAAACTGGTTAGCTGATAACAGAAACCAATAAGCATCAAGCTTAATGATTAAACTCCACCCAAGGTCCCGGCTGCTGCCCCGCGTGCCCAGGGTTCCTCCAGGCTGTCGGCCCCGCCACCTGCCATCCTGGCATCCCTGCACGGCTGGCATCCCAGCTGCCGCCCTATGCTAGGGCTCTGCTGCTGCCCAGCATCCTGGCACGCCCGGTGTCCCTCGGGGCTCCCAGCCCCGCGCCCGCGGTCCCTCCCAGCAGCAGAGATCCCCGGGGGTGGCAGCAGAGCCCCACGTAAAATGTGGGGGTGCTGCAGCACCCCCTGCCCCACTAGTTCCCCGGGTAAATGTTTAACCATGTAACCGATAGAATTTTAGTCGGTTACATGGTTAGTGTTTTTACATGTTATTTATATCCCTAATGTAAATATCTAGGGACAAAGAATGTAGGCCATACATACAGGATGGATGACTATAATCTGGGAAGCAGTGACTCTGAAAAAGATTTGGGGGCTATGGTGGATAATCAACTGAATGTGAGAACCCAGTGTGACGCTGTAGCCAAAAGAGCTAATGCAATCTTGGAATGCAGAAATGGGAATCTTGAGCAGGAGTTGAGAGGTTACTGGTGCAACCACTGCTTGAATACTGTGTCCAGTTGTGGTGCCCACAATTCAAAAAGGATGTTGATAAATTGGAGAGGGTTCAGGGAAGAGCCATGAGAATAATTAAAGGATTAGACAACATGCCTTATAGTGATAGGCTCAAAAAACTCCGTCTATTTAGCTCAACGAAAAGAAGGTTAAGGGGTGACTTGATTACAGTCTAAGTATCTACCTGGGGAACAATATTTAATAATGAGCTCTTCAAACTAGCAGAGAAATATATAACACAATCCAATGGCTAGAAGTTGAAGCTAGACAAATTCAGCCTGGAAATAAGGCATAATTTTTTTAAGAGTGAGAGTAATTAACCACTGGACCAAAGGGATGCGGTGGATTCTCCATCACTGACAATTTTTAGATCAACATTGGATGTTTTTCTAAAAGATCTGCTCTAGGAACTATTTTGGGGAAGTTCTATGGCCAGACTAGATGATCACAATGGTCCCTTCTGGCCCTGAAATCTATGAATCTGATACCCCTTTAACTCTTTGGCAGACGTTTATCTACCCTTAGTCATCCTGTTCCCGCCGCCCCCATTCTTAACTGCTATCTTGGTCCTATCAAGAAAAATCCTGCAATATTTGTAATTTCTAAATACACTGTTTAGTGGGCAATCTCTTGTGGTGAACTGGTTCTGGTTCATAGGCTCCAGAGATGATCAAACTGGTGTGCGTGAGGGTGAGGTGTGAGAGGAGAAGAGGAGGGTCAAGCTGGGGCAGGGGGTATTCCCTCCACAGCTCTGGGAAGGAGATGTTTTGGTTGGTTGGCCTGTTCCCACCACCTCATAGACACACACACACTCACACTCACTCTTCTCATAGAATCACAGAAATGTAGGGCTGGAAGGGACCTCAAGAGGTCATCTAGTCCAGTCCCCTGCACTGTAGCAGGACCAAGTAAACCTAGATCATCTCTGACTGTTTGTCCAACCTGTTCTTAGAAACCTACAGCAATGGAGATTCCACAACCTCCCTGGGAAGCCTGTTCCAGAGCTTAACTACCTTTATAGTTAGAAAAAACTTTCTAATATCTGACCTAAATCTCCCTTGCTGCAGATTAAGGCAATTACTTCTCCTACCTTCAGTGGACATGGAGAACAATTGAGCCCTATCCTCTTTATAACAGCCCTTAACATATTTGAAGACTATCGGGTCCCCCCTCAATCTTCTTTTCTCAAAACTAAGCTTCCCCAGGTTTTTTTTAACCTTTCCTCATAGGTCAGCTTTTCTAAACCTTATATCATTTTTGTTGCTCTCCTCTGGACTCTCTCCAATTTGCCCCCATCTTTCTTAAAGTATGGTGCCCAGACTTGGACACAGTACTCCAGATAAGACCTCACCAGTGCCGAGTACAGCGGGACAATTACTTCCATGTCTTCCACATGACACTCCTGTTAATACTCCTCAGAATGAAATTAGCCTTTTTAGACGCCTACAGAGTCTAATAGTTTTGTGGATCACTAAAGAGCCTAAAACTGGGACTTAGGCATCTAAAAACTTTTGTGAATCTAGCCCCAAGTGCTTAGGAATTCGGTATCATCATCCTCATTTTACAGGTGGGGAAACCAAGACACAGAGGACTGAAGTGACTTGTCCAAGGTC